ACACACCCCTTATCTGCCTGGCACTTTGTTAGCACGAGAGCTCTGTTAGTTCAAGAGGTACCTCCAGGCCTTGTTCGTGGCTTTGTCAAATCTTATCAAAGAAAGGTCTTAATTCATACTGGGCTAGGCTGACCCCCTTGACACTCTGGTCAGGAAAGTACCTGGAGCATATGATTTTGGAGATCTGTCATCTTCCCCCGCCTAGGTGGGGTGTGTCCTCTTTGGGGCAGGAGTAGATGAGCCAGTTGAGTTTTCAGTCATTTATGCAGCTGTTTTGGTGACACCCAGATTTTCAAACCTTCTCCATCACCTTTTGGGTATTTTCTCTGGGTTTTCTAATGGCAGAACCTTGGCCCACAGCCCTAAGTACAGATGTGTGGCCCCTCCCTCAGGGCCACTGCCCACCTTCCTTCAAAAAGGTGGTCAGCTTTTCTCAGGTTCAGAGCAACCCCTTTTGGGTTCGGATCCTCTTGACCCAGTTCTCCTGTGTCCATGGGCTGGAACCATGGCCAGTTTTGTATATGTACAGGGGAGTGACCAAGGAAGCAACTATAGTTGATGGGAGGGAGGAGGCCAATATAAGATGCAAAAAGCAATAGCAGAGTCCCAAGTCCTCCCTCCCTCATTCCATTTAAAAGAGAGAAGACTCAGTTAGCAAGGAGCACTTGAGAGAGATGACGCAGGCTGCAGTTGCAAGCATTTTAATTATAGGTCCCAGGGATTGGGTCACCCAGTGAGCCTGTATTCACGTGTGCCAAACTGCCTGCCGCCGGCCTCTGGTACACTCCTGAGGACTTGCCACCACCCTCTTCAAGTTCTAGGGAGAGCAGTCTGCCCGCCCACCACATTTCAACACCTAAGCAAGCAGCATCTCCAAGTCTTCAAAACTACAGGTACCAGCCAAGTGTACCCCTTTCTATGGGTGGTCACTAGATAGATGCTATTGGGTGTATGGAAGCAGGTCAAGGCAATGGATTCTTCCAAAAAGGCTTACTGCTTTCCCACCTGTCTTTTTTTTTTTTTTTTCTTTTTTGGTCGGGTAGAATTTACAAATGGTATGCTTCACCTTGTTTGGAACTGGGGAGGAGTCCACTGAACGTGTTCTCTCTGGGTCAGTTCTTGGCTATTGTGTTGGGAGCAAAAGTTTGAAGTCATGGCAAGGCTGACTTGTACTCTCCTCTTTCCTTCTGATCGCCTTTCTTATGTGGTTATTCATTTACTGTATGCTTCTGCCTGATCTAGTTCCTGGGCAACATTGTGAATATTAGTCATTTGCACTATAGTGTCATTAAGTCTACGTGAGTCAGTTAGTGTCTTTGACTCTTAATTTGGAACTAATCTGCTGTGTCTATTGTGTAAGGCACTTAGAGCATGTAGGCAGGTATAAGAGTAATTTGGGGGTCAGGGAAGGGCCTTCACCTCTAAAATAAGACCAAAGCCATGACTAGCATCTTGGGTACTGGTCCCAGGTAATAAATGATAAATTTTTTTTTTTTTTTAATGCATGTAGTCCCTTTTCCTCTTGTCAGGAGATTGGATGTTTTGGACATTCGGGATAGGCTTAAACTTTAAATTTTGAGTTGCTGACAAGAAAATCCAATATTTCCAAAGATTTTATGAAACAAATAACTAATACTTGAAAAAGCTTTCCAGAGACAGTGATAAAGGATTTTATGTCATGCAACAAGGACCTTGGGTTCATGGAGGTGACTTGTACTTTGGAGGCCCTGAAAGGTATGGGAGCCCTGGAGTGTCCCCATCCCTACTGCTCCCTGAAGCACACATGGCAGTGTGTACGGAAATTTAGTGTCTCCCAAATCAGGAGAGCAGTTTGCTGATGGATTGTAGATGTCAGGATGGAGCTGGTTCATAGCAGAAGTCCATGGTCCCTCAACCAAAGAGCATGCTCTCTAGAGCACAAGAAACTTGACCATGTGGGCGAAACAGTAGTATCCCAACCTGTGCCTTTCCTTGGTGAATAATGCCCCAGATCGAGGCAGAGGAAGAGGTGAGGGTTCCCCCAAGGGAACTTTGATTTTACTTCCAGAATCCCACAGCCTTGGTGGAAAAGTCCACTGTGACCCACAAGCGTGACAGCCAGTTTCTTAGAGTTCATTACCTTGGCGGTGACACAGGCTCATTGGAAAATGAGCTTGTGTAATCAGCGGCTGGGAACAGCTCAACCCATGACCTGGGAACTTGATGCCAGCTAAACACGCTATTGCGAAGGTCAGGTCAGACAGAAGGCCTCTGGGCTCAGGCTGACACAAGGGCAGTGCCACCAAAGCACCAAGAAGTCTTAAAGGAGCATGTTTCCATCTGTGTTCAGGCTTATCTCACCAAGATGCTGGCTTGGTTTCTACACATTGTTTCCCACAGTCTGACTCCAAATGGGGCTGGTTTCCAGGACAGCCAGCTGGTGGTGTGGTTCCTGCATTGTCCCAGCTACAGCCGGGATGAGTCACTCAGCATTGTTGCTGCCCTGGCCTCCTTCTCAAGCTCCACCCACTCCCAAGTGTGCATCTCACCACTAGTGTTAAGTGTGCCCACAGGCGCAGTGGGCTTCATTTGATGATCATGGGGGATGGGTGCATGCATCTTCCTCCATGATGAGTTCTCCCTGAAACTGCAAGGTCCTCTGAGTTGCCTCGCCCAGTAAGAGGAACAGCCTTCACTTTTGCTGCACCCTCCATTGGCTCCTCCCCTCCTAGGCTCTTGTCAGGGACCTCCCATCTATTTTTCAGGCTGGCCCAACTCAGTGGCCATCACAGATTATCTGTCAACCCTCTCCCGCCCCCAGGCAGAATTAAATTAACTCTCTGTCAGTTCCTATCACATGTTAACTCATCACAGTGCTCACTGTTTTTAAGATATAATCTAGTTATGTGAGTTTTGACAAATACATGCTTGTCAAGCATATAGTCATGTAACCGCCAACATAATCACGACACCGGACAGAATTTGCCTCCCCAGACTTTCCCTGTGCCCCTCTGTAGTCATTCCTTTCTGGCCCCTGGCAGCCACTGGGAGAGATCAGATCTCTGCCCACATTTTGACCTTGCAAGAACATCTATAAATGGGATCGAAAGGAGGTAGCTTTCACAGTGGCTTCTTTCACTCCACATAATGCATGGGAGGCTCACCAAGGCTCATTGCTGTTGTGGGTATCCATGACTCACTCCTCCTCTTGCTGAGCACTTGTGAATTTGTCCTCGTACTCATATCCCTGCATGGGGCCCCTTGTGCCCACTGTGTCTGGATATCAGGATATTTTCCTGTTGTCTCCCCTGGGGCTGGACTGTGCCTTGAATGCCTCTGTTCCCCAGCTGGTGCACATGTGCTGGGGCAGTGAGTATCCATGGTGAAGACCCTGATCCCTGCCTTCCCAGGAGGGGCACCGTGTCTGCCTGGGCTTCAGGCCTTCCCTACAGAAGTTGAAGGAGCTTGGGCTCTGGCTCTCTCTAGGGCTCTGGCTGCTTCTTGCCAAATCACTGTTCACAGGTGACCTAGAGAGAAGCCCTGAGATGGGCAGGCAGGCTTCTCATGAACCACCCTTGCCCTCAGTTTGATGCCCATGGTGGGTGGTGCCAGCACTTGTTGTGGGAGGGAGCTCTCCATCAATCCCCTGAATCTCTGCTCTCTGGAGCTCGGAGTCATGAGTTATTGGGACTGTGGTACAGGTGTGGGCCTGGATACCTACCCCTCCTAGGGCAGAGAAGCCCTCTCTCTTCCTGCTTTGTTTTCACCGACTCACAGCCGCACTGGCTTGTTAGTTAAAAATAGGCGCTGGGCATCTCAGTCCTGTGACACAGGCCCTCCTCTTTCCCTGCTGACACAGGAATGCTTGTGTAAATATTTGGAGTTGCTCATGGTTGGGGCCATTTCCCTTCTAGGATCAGGGAGATGGCCACTGGAGAGTGAGAATAGCAAATGCTAGAAACACTCAGGGTGACATGTTATTTGGGAGACACTGGAGTTAAGGGTAGTTTCTAGGAGCCAGTAGAAGTGGTTGGTCCTTTGTAGAGGTCACAGGTTTGAAATCACACTGAGCAGAGTTCAAACTGCTCCTAACTCTCTGAGGGTCAGTTTTTCCCTTATAAATAGGGATGAAATTATCTATTCTACCAGTGTGATTGTGAGAATTAAAAGTGATCATGTGTGTAAAACACATACCAGGACGTTGCATTGGATGTCTCAGGGAGAAATTAGAGGTTCTGAAGGGACTTAGGAGTGTCAAATGCATGCCCGGACCTCTTTTCCATGAGCTCACATCTCACCCTTTTGGTGTTCAATCACTACTGTGTCCTTAAATCACATTAACAGCTGCCCACGTCAGGCTAGTAACTCAGGACTCCCAGCAGGAGAGGATGGTAACTAAGCTTAAAATAGAGACAGGTCCCTTGATTGGTACAGGAGATGAACAGTCCCCCGGATGACAGGCCAGGTGGAGACTGCAAATCCCCAACCTCAAGGGAGCCTCCTTCCTGCCCAGCAAGCCAGGCTGTCCTTGGTCCAGAAGCTCTGAGGGTATGTGTTCTTAGCTCCTCAACCCCCCAGGGCTGCCTACCCAGAGTTACTGGCCTGGGGGGACATTGGGTCTGTGGGAGAGAGTGCTCTGGCAGAAGTTGGCACCTTAGGCTTTGGGGAGCTGTACAAATCTGGGTTGATGAGGTCTAGCTGTTGTATGAGGGGCTGGGGGACCTGGCAGGGGAAGGCATTTTTAGGGGTGGCATAGGAGGCAGTCCTGAATGAGAAGAGGGGAAGGTGAGCTCAGAATAAAACGAGCTGTACTATTTGGTTGATCGTGTTTTTTATTAAGCCCCAAATCAGGTCACTGTGCCTGAATATGTGTCAGAAGCAAAACGAAGAGAGTTCACAGAACAAGACCTACTCAGGAAGGTCAAGCCATCCTATCGAGGAAAAGCACCAGATGGGGTGACATTGTGTCCAGAGCAGAGGTCCTCTAATACTCTGTGTCTGTGACTGCTTCCTCCAAGCAGGTGCCACCATGAAGTCTGACCACTGCTGACCAGCCAGCCTCAGAGCACCAAGTTCCAGCCTTCCTCCAGACCCACACGGTCAGGGAAGGTGGACTCACCATGGCTTCCACCAGCGCCGAGAGCCAACTCCAGAGAATCATCCGCGATCTGCAAGGTTTGGTTGGGTTGCTGGGCTACCAGGTTGATTTTGAGGGACTGCGGCTGCACTTCTGCTCTTGCCAGTTGAATTCAGCCCTTTCATCTTTGTTCACACCCAGAGTAATTGGAGCCCTTGGGACACATCACATTGAAATATTTGGGGCTCGGATATCTACCCTGTGGGAGACTGGGAGAACTTGCTTGGCGCTCCTTTCAGAGCTCTGTAAAGCCAGTTTGTAAACAAAATCAAATACTGACTCCTGCCTAGATCTTATTTCAGTACTAGTCTTTGGCTGAGTCACAACCTCTGGGCTCTGATGCAGTTGGCTTCTTTGCAGTGAATATTCTCCCTCTGAGCAGGAAGGCCAGATACCTGTCTGTCTTGTTTGCTGCTGCACCTAGTCTGGCTGGCAGATGGCCCTTGGCTTGTGACACCAGGTCTGGGCCTGCTACTTTCCAACTTCCCCAAATGAGAAGGGACTGTGACTGCAGCCTTCCTGCCGAGAAGGGCAGGGAAGGGGATGTGGATCAAGCTTCAGGGGAAATATTACTTCTCTGTTGGCCGTAGATTCAAGTCTCTCCCTTTCAGATGATGTGCCAAGGGTCAGAATTTGGACACATTTCCCTCTTTCACCAATCACCAGGTTGGTCTTGCCGGCTTTTTTTTGGAACTCCAGCACTTTCGCTACAACACAAACTGAAACTGACCACTTCCTCCATGTTATTGAGTCCCGATGACACTTTCTGATAGTTCATAGACCCAGGTACCTAAATGGACCCAGGTCCTACCCATCAGACTGGGTCCAGTGAGCAGTCTCTCATACCAAGAGCCACTGGCCTAGTGTAGCTGGAGTGCAGGCCACAGTCCTCATTGTGAAGGTCCAAGGTCAATAAGATAGAAACCACTTTCTCAGACATATTGCCTCTTATTGATAATGCTTTGGGCCTCAGATAGCTAATTGAGCATCCCTTATTCAAGTGTGAAGTATTTCAGACTTCAGATAGTTGGGATTTTGGAATATTTACATAGACTTTACCAGTTGAGCATCCTTAATCTGCAAATCCAAACTCTGAAATGCCCCCCAATCCCAAACTTTTGAGGGCCATATTTTTGGATTAGAATGCTCAGCCTGTAATTACATGGCATTGCATATGCACAGGATTGTCATGCACATGTCTTATCTGAGTCCTCACATTTGGTCCTGTGAGGTCAGTGCCATTATTACTCCCATTTTGCAGATGAGGAAACAGGCATAGAGAGATTATGTAATTTACCTAAAGTCACACAGCCAGTGGTGAACAGAACCCAGGTGTGCACTACCAACAGCCTGACAGTAGTCTATTCTTTTAACCACACAGTCTGCTCTCTGCTAAAATGTTAGGTGCTTTTAAAAGAAAAATCTACAGAGATGCAGAGAAAATAAAATGACAGCCCCTGCAAATCTGAGTTTGTTGCTGACTTTCAGAGATTTCTCCACCAAGTAGGAATCTTCTCTGTTTCAGTCTCTTTTCTCAAGGATATCTGTGGGACCCAGAGGTCCTTATTGGGAGGGAAGAGAGAAAAAGACAGGGCCCTCAGGCTGAGCTCCTGTCCCATCCATCATCTACGCCCTATGCTGGCTAAGTCTGATCACCCCCAGCCAACCCCTAGGTTGGTCTCCATGTCTCTACAGAACCCATAGAGCAAGACTTTTTCCTTTTCTCTGCCAGTATAGGTCTTGACAAGCCCACAGATTGACAGCACTCACTTGGAGTAGTGCATCCTTAGCTGAGACACTCTTGTGTGTCACACCGTGCAGCTTCTGGGTGACAGTAGCTGCGTGGGCTTTGGAGTTGGGCAGGCATTCCAGGCTCTGCCTTTTAACCCTGGAAAACTCTGGACAAATCCCATCACCTTTCCAGTGTGCACTTGCTCCCTTTGTGTGCCAGATGGGTTTGATGATGACACCTCAGGATTGTTGAGAGAGTCAAATATGAAGTTTTCTGTAAAGCTATAATTATTCATAATTACTACATTTGGATTGTCAGAGATTAGAGCTGAAAATTTCATATCCAAAGGCTCCTTCTTGCAAAGTTTCAGGAGTTCCCAGAACTGAGTGTCTGCCCAGCCCGCAGAGGAGGGAGGATGGAGGAGAAAGGCTCTGGCTCTCAATGCCAGCTGTAGCAGTCACTCCAAATAGGTCACAACTGGACAATAATCACTTGTCCTAAGACTGAGTCTCAAGAACCTGTCTTCACCATTTGCCCACTTTTGCTGATTGGATTTTCAGCCAGCTCAGGCCTAGCTACTATCCTGGGCAGGTGTGTTTAAACCGTGGTGCTTGGGGGCAGGGGTAGGGGCTTCTTTTCTTCGAAGAGTTATCAGAGAAGAAGGGAGTTTTGTCCAGCACATCCCAGCTGTCTCAACTGAGCAAATGTTTCCCATATCTAAACCAACTCCATCATTTGACAGTCTCTTTGTCCCTCGGCAGAGGCAGTGAGTGAAAGCCAAAGGTAGGTTTCCCTCCTTTCCAACAGGGAAGTCAATTATCTTAGAAGTTAAGAGGTGCACTCTGAAGTCAGAAAGCCCCAGAGAAAAAGCAGGTTTCTTAAAATGGGGATGATAATATCAGATTTCAGAGATTCAAAGTTGTGATTATTTTTTTCACATTTTAACAATTCTGAAGTTGGGATGCATCTTAAAAATCAGTTGCATCTTGAATTTGTTGAAATAGAGCAACTCTGGCTTTGCAGCGTTGTATAAATGAGAAATGTGTGCAAAGTCCTGGCCCTTCCGAGGCACTCAGTTAACAGAAGCAGATATTGTTGTCATCGTTATTACCCGTACTATTATTTGTGCCTCTAGGGTGTTCTGAAAGCCTGCACTTAACCTGAACTGAGCAGTAGGACTATAGTGAATGCGATGGTCTGTACCCCAAAGGTTTAAGTGAAGGGAATTTGGTCATGATGTAACAGTATTAGAAAGTATTGGAACTTTTAAGAGGCAGGGCCTAGTGGGAGGAGGTTGGGTCCTGACAACCCTCAAAAAGGATTAATGTGGTGTCTCTGAGTGCGATGAGTTTTACAGGAGTGGATTAGTTCCAGGGAGAGTGGGTTGTTAGAAAGAGTGTCTGGCCCCTTCCACTATGTTATGAGGCAGCCAGAAGGCCTCCACCATAGGGCCGCCCAATGGGCCCACCTGTTCTTTGTCTTTTAGCCTACAAAACTGATACCAGGTCTTTATGTCCTTCTCATTTAATATAACATTATAAGACAAGGATTGCCTTATTTCAACAAATCTAAGGTATTTAGATTGATTTTAAAGGCGTATCCCAATTTCAAAGATGTAAAAATGTAAAATAAATAACCTTTAGTTTATAAAAGTACCCAAGCCAGGTATTTTGTAATAGCAACACAAAACAGACTAAGACAGTGAAGAGCAATAAATATGACCAGAATAAAGGATAAAACCTTCTGGAAGTCAATATTAAGGGACTAAATGATTCATTCACACATAAACATCCCTAGATATTTACATGCCCTTTACATTTCTAGGGTTGCTTATTATCAGTAATCACTCCTCATGCTTTCTGGGTTATTCCCACCCTTCTCTCTGACTTCTTTCTCTATCTGGTCACACGTTCCTGTTTGTTGTCTTTAAAGATGCAGTGACAGAACTAAGCAATGAGTTTAAGGAAGCAGGAGAGCCCATCACAGATGACAGCACCAGCTTGCACAAGTTTTCTTATAAACTTGAGTATCTTCTGCAAGTAAGTGACACCTGTCCTGTGTTGATTTTGGCAATGTTGTCTCTTGTTTCCCTCTTGGGTGACTTATCAGCATTGAGGATATGATACCATCAGGAATATCAACAGAGCCATTAAGCCCACAGTTAGACTCAAGGTCAAAGCTAGAGCTCAGTCCTCTTCAGTGTGGTTCTCTGGGGAAATCAAGGTGTTACTCCTTAGGGTGGTTTTGGAATTGAGAACATTCTTTAGAAATGTAGGCATCTCAAGGCAAGTCACAAGGCCACTGAACAACAAGAATCTTAACTTTAGCGCAGTTACATGGCCCTTTGAGGGTTCAATGAAAGCTGTGGGTCTCACCCCAAATAGACGTGTATGTGCACACCCAGTCACACGGGCAGTTTCCAGGAGTGTGAGGACCCTCTGAGGATTACCTGTAGGCCCCTGTTTTAGAGTCTTGCTGTACCATGTATGGGCCAAGACCAGCAGCACCAGCCTCACTGGGGAGCTGGTTAGAACATTCCTCGTTTCCACCCTGACCTACTGAATCAGGACCTCCCAGGTTGGTACAAGAAACTTTTGTTATTTTTAGCATAATTGTGGTATAACTCTTGTGCCTGTTCAAAAAGCACTCTAGAGAACAGCTGTAGCTGTGGAAAATCACTGAAATAAGCAGAAGGGAAATGAACCTGAAATTATTTTAGGGTAGTGGTATTAGGCCTTGTAATTTTTTGTTTTGTTTTGTTTTGTTTTGCTTTTTTCAAATCTGGATTTCTCACAGCTTGCTTCCATAATCAGGGAAAAAAAAACAAAACAAAAAAAGCTCTAATAGAAAGAATCAGAGGAGGAAGAGGCCTGGGGTTGAGGGCTTGCCTTCCTCATGCCTTCAACTACTTCTTTGCTTGGCTTTACACAAATGCTTATGGACTTTTGTTGTTGTTGTTGTTAAGCCCATTTTGGTTTGGATTTGAAATGACTCAGAGCTGACATTTACTTGAATTTGTTCTATATGTATTAGAGTAGCCTTGAAACTTAAAGATTTGAGTAACTGGGATAAAATGTCATGGCCACATTTCCCTAATTTGGGGCATAGTTAACATTCTTCATGTTGACTCAAGACTCTTTGCTTCTGTTTATCATGTGTTGACAGCAACCAGTGATCTTCCGCTTAACTCTCTGCGCAGAAGTCCCTTCAAGGGCTAAATCTTTCGTTACTCCTGAATCTCACTAGTTGTATGACTTTGAGCCAGTCTCTCATAGCCTCAGTTTCATCATCTAAAAATTGGGCATTCACATACTCTCATTTTGTGATTAATATATCTTGGTTTGCCTTAAATAAAAATAATGTCAATAAAGGGTGTTCCCCAGTGCTAAAACCTGAGAAGCTCTTTGTTATAGTTTATCATTTAAATGGTAGAATGAGCAATAGGGGGTTTGGGCCCTTTCTGTGTCTCTCTTCCAACCCAGTTCGATCAGAAAGAGAAGGCCAGCCTCCTGGGCAATAAGAAAGACTACTGGGATTACTTCTGTGCCTGCCTGGCCAAGGTGAAAGGAGCCAACGATGGGATCCGATTTGTCAAGTCCATCTCGGAGGTAAGCTGAGAGGAGTAGCAGAGGACCCCCTGGCTTCCTCTGGGTGGGGTTGCACATCCTTGCAGACACCTCTGCCGCCAATTGCCAAGTGCAGACGTGGGGGTTACAGGTGAAGAAGTAACAAACCCGGCCAGGCACACTCAGCACCCACTGTTGGCTTGGCTCAAGCCTGGGGAACCACCTAAATGAGTACCTGCCAGGCAGAGGGGTTGCTTGGTCCTGAACATCTCCTGGCAGGGAGGGCCATTCACATTGTAACTCTCTGCTCATGGCACCCTTTGGAGGTATGTCTGTACCTTTAAACATAATAATAATTTAATTCTTAAGAGTTTGCTAGGCTGCTTTCCCTACAGTTCACCCAGGGAACTTGGATTGAAAGGAAGAGACTGAGGTTGGATCTCAGGAATATTTCATAGCATGCTGGTGTGGTAAGCAGCTTCCTGCATCCAGAATGCTGTGGCTTTCCATTTTACAAATCTCCTGGGCAACAAGCACGCACACTCACACTTGACCCACACACTCACAACCTCTCCCTCTCCGCCTCTCTCCCACCCCTACCCCCAGCGAATGTCTCTCCCTCCCTCTCATGAGCTAGCTCATCCAGAAGTGAAGCCCTGAGCTTTGGGGCAGGAGGTCTAAAGGGTCTGTGCATTTCATCCTGTCAGCATCTCCAGAAAGGGGGAAGTCACTCTGAAATCAGCACACAGGCTCCTTGGTGGGCCTCCTGCAAAGGCTGAGGCACTGGGGTTCTGAAAAGAGCTGCCCTCGCCCAGCCATGCCAGCTGGAGCCAGGGTGTTTCTTCTTATAGAGGATGATGGCACCAGATACGCTGACTTCAGGGCCTGGGCATTTCCACCAGCTGCACCCAAGATGGAGAGCAGGGTTTAATGCATCAAAAATCTGGAAAGTTCCTATTGTCACCTCCTAAGCTACTCCCTCAAAATAACCAAAGCCTTCAACTGTATGCCTTTGAACAGCTGAAGTCTGAAAATAAATTAGTTTTAATTCCCATTCCCCAGCTTTAAGCAATGTATTTTTTGGCTAGTTTCATCTTTTCTCTTAAGACCTTTAGACAGTTGGAGGTCATGGAAGTGGACCTTCCAGAAGCAAAAAGCATACTTTGCAAATGGTTTTTTGGTGGCTGGCATAGGCTTTGCCTCCTATAGAGCCAATTCTTTCATCTTGGTCACAAACTGTTCTCTGTGGGGTCACTGGTTAGAATGGCTTGGACATGGCTGAGCTGGGTGACCTGCTGGGTACTTGGGTCAATCTCAGTAATCACGTGTGGCCTAGATCTTCAGGAGAGATGATAGTAAAAGTTCATGGCTCAGAAGCATTTTTAGGGTCCATTAGTTCCCATGGGGTAGGAGATAACCATCTGGACTACAATAGGAAAGTTCTAGTAAGCCGCTTCCAGAAGTTCAGAAGTGGGCTCTCCTTGGACTGTGGTTTATCACCATGAACAGGGTGCATGTTGACATCAGGCTTACGGCACAGTTTAAAGCAGAAACTGTGAGCAGACTAGTCTCAAGTGTTCTGCAGATGCCTTCTCCTGTGCTGCTATCATGTCTCTTCTCAGCATAGTACATGTGGGTTCTATTTAGATGCTAAAAAAAAATAAGGAATTAGGTAATGAAAGTGGACCCAAGATCTAAAAAGGTAAAAATAAAAAAGCTATGTAGTTATTTTCATTTGTAGTACAAAGGAACCACTGTTCCCTTCCCTAAAGGATGTTTAAAAACACCTTTTAAAGTAAATGGTTCCCTTTTTATATGATTTTATATATATATATATATATATATATACATATATATATATATATATATAATATCAGTTTAACTAATGAGCTTAATTAGAAACATGGGCTCAAATGTCTGCCATTTAAAAGGTTTTACTGTTCTAAAGGCTGTGATATTGGTCAATATGCCAAGAATAAGAACAGGCTCCTGATTTGGAAGCTTATAGTGGAGGGCTGGGGGGAGAGGGGTCTTGTTAAATTCTGCAGGGCTGAGGGGAAGTGTGTTTTGCTCACCTGTTTCCATTGACCTGAGTTTCCTGGTTATCCTTCTGAGCACTTTTTCTCACCTTGCTCCTCAGTGGAAAGAGTATTTGGACATGGGAATGTCATTGAGAGTCTTCCCTGGGCCTCTGTAGAGGTCACCTCTCTGTACACATGCCGTGGCAGTTTTTATAAAGTCAGGAAGTCAGGTCACTGCCAGCCTTCACTTCTGGGTGTCCTGACTATACACCAGACTCACGTGGAAAATTGTCACAGTTTCTGTAAGTCATGAGGTTTCACACCTTTTTATTTTTTAAAACCACTTCATGTTCTAGTATTACTTCCTTGAGTTGACAGTAGGAAGACCTAGCTCTGAGCTAATGGTGTGACAAGCTGCTAGATGTTTACATCATTCATGTGCCAGTGCTTGAGGCGCCAACGCATATATCCTGTGTCCACCCAGGGCCTCAGTTAACATCTCCATAGAATGAGGTTTAGGACCTTCTTTCTGTGAAACCACTGCTACGCCATCTCCCACCACATTCCTGACCTTTGAAGCGGGTCAGAGGAGTGGGAAGCATTGGTCCCTGACTCACCCCTCTCAGCCAGAGCCTGAAAGAATAGGTGCATGTGGTAGTTTGGGGCGCTGCGGGGTGGGGGGAGCAGTTTGAATCTCACCTACTTCAATTGGGCTTCTAGGACTGACCTATCAGAAATATGAATCCTAATTTGCAGACTAGTCTCAAAGTGTCCTCTATAGCTGGCCCCTTTATTCCATCTGTCTTGGCTTCCACATGCCCCCAGCTGCCATGGTTTAGCTGCCTTGTGGCAGAATACTCCATACTCTGACCAGAATACTCCATCACCATCTCAACAGACTTCCAGAAACCTCCTCAAAAACCATGTTGTTAAGTGGTAACTTTAAACCTTAAGACGGTTCCAATCAGACCTCGTCTTTCATTTGAATTGGTTTTGTAGTTTGGACATTGTAGGATGGTTTCAAAGACCTGCCTGTCACCTGGGCCCTTCTGTGCCACCCAGCACTGTGTGACGGGCCTCCTGGAGATCTCTGCTGTCACCCCCTGGGCATGCTCTGACTAAATTCAGTAAGATGGCATATCTGAAAAGAAACCAAAGCAACCAGGGAAGTGCTGACAGTCGTGTGAATTTTATGGATGGTTTTATGGGGACAGAGGAGGCTATTATACATATGGTGAATCTCCCCCCCCACCCACCCACACCCTCCTCTGCCTTTGGCCTCTCTTCCTTTTTTTCCATGTGCCCCAGCGAAGCCTCTGAGGCTTCTTCCCTGTACCTGCCCCCAAACACCTTAAAAACAAGCCCAACAGTAGCCAACGCATACCATCCCTTCAGTTCCAAATTAACATTCCAAATTAAAGAGTTTCATGTTTGACCCAGGAATTCTGATGGAGCATAGGAGGGAGAATGTCATTCTAATAGGATCCACAGGGATTTGAGAGCATCTCATTCATATATCTTCCTTCACACGACTGTAGGCCTCTCGATTATTGTCAAATGTAGACCTGCAAGAATTGACCTACTCCAGGCCTCACTCTGGAGTGACATTATCAAGTGCTTTGTGTCCTTTGAGGGACAGGAGTGAAGCCACTGTGTAGGGTAGAATTGAACGAGGTGTTCTGCACTGGGTGTCTGGTTTTTGCAAGTCCTCCCTTGGGCCAGGTCTGTATTTGGAGTCAGCTAACAGCTCTTCCTCTCTATGTAATCTGCTTTTTCTAGCTTCGAACATCTCTGGGGAAAGGAAGAGCCTTTATTCGCTACTCTTTGGTGCATCAGCGGTTGGCAGACACCTTACAGCAGTGCTTCATGAATACCAAAGTGACCAGGTAAATGCAGGACAGCTTCACCCTATACCACTGAGACACGAACTGACATCCCTTCTTAATAACAATGACAGCTCCTCTAGTAGTACCCATTCATGTCACCCGTAGCAGACACCTGCTGTGTCCTTCCACATCCATCCTTCTTCTCTGCCCCTCCAACATAGTCCTTGAGCATGGGGGGCAGGCAGCCCTAAGTTTGTACAGGCGAGAAAAGGGAGCTCAGTCCAATTAAATGCCTTTCTCTAGGCCCCCCTGAGCTGAGCTGTGGAGTCAGAGCTTACAGCCAGGTCTCCTAACTCACAGTGCCAGGAAGTTTTCTCTACGGGTGGCGGCTCCTGGATGTCAGTGTTTGAGGACAGTTGCAGCCTTGGCCTCTCAGTAGAACTGCCTGTTGGGTTTTGAACTCCACCCAACCTGGGTCCTCACCTGCTGCAGCAGTCAGCACCTACCAGTGTATCCGGGCTTCCTGGAGAGCATGAGGGGTGGCCAAGGGTGTGAGCTGCTGCAGGGCCCAGGTTGTCTGTGTGTCAGCCTTTGGATCACTAGTGCTGCAGCCTTAGTCAGGAAGAGAAGAGGGAGGAGAGAGACTGGATTGAAAGTGTGAGAAATGGGCACTAGATTAGGAGCTGCAGACCAGCCACTACAGCTAGACTTCTTTGGGTTGCCCAGCATCCATTTACCAGCAGTGCCTCACCTCTCCTCACCTCTAGTTAGTCAAAGAAATCACTTTTGGATTAAAAAAAAAAAATCTATCATGAGAGAATGTTTTGTTTCATTTGTCACCTTCAAGGTTGATTGGCGTAAGGACAGGCTTCTTTTGCTGGTGACAGGTCTTGTGAGTTGTGTGAGTTGAAAACATTTGCCCATTTGATTTGAAGAATAGTTTTCTCCAGATGTTTGGTGAAGATAATTATGAACAGCTTGGCTTCATCACAGTCCACAGACATTAGCCAAGTTACCTACACTCATCAGCATTATCCTTTTTAGTTTTTGTTGTTTCATGTGAAACAAAACAACCTCTGCCTCTAAGCTCAGTTGGTATTTCTGGCCAGGTAGCTGTTGCTTGGCTTTTAAACTGGTGTCTGAACAGAAATTAGCAGTGAACTAGCTCGGTGTCTCATATTTAGTTCTTGAAAGGAATAGAGGGTAAGATTACTTTTCAAAAGGGAAGTGTTCTGTCAGCCAAAATTGCCATTTCTTGGCAAGTAACTGAGATTTAAGGCTTTTCACATCCTCTTTGAGAAATAGGTATAAGTAATAAGTGAATAAACATCCAGATCATGGTAGTGATTTCTTTGATGAAGAGCAGCCTTATTTTAGAGTTACATACTCCTACAGTGAAAATGAAATTGGTTTACATGTGTGTCTTTCGTTAATTTAGTAACCCACACATTTTGTTTTCCTCCAGCGACTGGTACTATGCAAGAAGCCCCTTTCTGAAGCCAAAGCTGAGCTCTGACATCGTGGGCCAACTCTATGAATTGACTGAGGTTCAGTTTGACCTGGCATCGAGAGGCTATGATTTGGATGCTGCCTGGCCAACATTTGCTAGGTATTTAGAGGAATCACTGGTTTAAAAAGTCAGGGAGAGACAGGGCTGGGGTTGTGGCTCAGAGATAGAGCACTCACCTACCATGCGTGAGGCACCGGGTTCAAGCCTCAGCACCGCATAAAAATTTAAAAAAATAAAGATTAAAAAAAAAAGTCAGGGAAAGAGATGTTTGAAGTGTTGAAGACAGCCACCAATCCACTCAAAGCAATTTTGCTTGCTCAGTAAATTGCATCCAGGTTTGCACACCTTCTGCCTGTTAATTTTGCAGACTTTGGTGAGTCGTGACTAAGATAACATCTAAAGGCTCCAACCATAACCCAGCCTAATTGGCCATGTGGTATGAGTCAGTGGAGATGTGAGGCTTAAGATTTTTAGAAAGTTTAAGGGACTTGTTGGTGTGGGAGTAAAGGAGGTGGATCTGGGCTTTTCCCCATTGTGTTTGCCCGTGGTCACAGAGGTTATCTCAGTTGTAGGAAAGGGAACAAAAGTCCCATCTTATCTCTTGTCAGGGTTGCTGGAAAGATTGCTGTCCCTCCTTTTTTTCTGTCTGAAGGTCAGCAAGCCAGCCAAGGTGTAATGAGCACACCATCAGAGAGCTCACAGTGTGAGGAAACAGGATCAGAGGGTAGAGGAGCTGGTGGGCAGCAGGGCCCAGGCACCAGACTCTGGTTGAACTCGGGCTAACATTCATTGTTGTGTTTTGCTTTCTGCTAATAGAATTTTCTAATTTTAATACTCCTATAGATTATTAGGAAATTACACCTTTCTATGTAAGGAAAAGTACTGATTCTAATATGATAGCCATGTAGCAAACACCAAGATTTCATCTCAAACATTTGGCCATGTTCAGATGTCCTGTTTTAAACTTTAATTTTGAGTCATTATAGAATGTTTTAAATGTTGCAAAAATAGTACAGAGTACTTATCTGGCCTTCATCCTGATCCCCAGTTGTTAATATTTTATTGCAATTGTTTATCGTTCTTTCTCTTTATATGTATAGGCTGGTTTATTTCCTAAGCCATTCAAAAGGAAGTTGCAGGCTTGATTTCCCTGTTCTCTTAAGTACCTAAGTATAGTTATTAAAATCAAAAAATGAACACTGGTAGGATATTGCTGTCTTTTCTATGGACTTTACTCATACTTTACAAATTGTTTCCATGTCTTTTATAATCCAAGATCCAGTCCAGGATCACATGTTGCAGTGATCTGACTCTCTAGTTCCCTTTAACTTGGAACTGTTTCTCTTCTTTGCCTCTCGTGATGCTAGCATTTTTGAAAAGTACAGGCTAGTTATTTTTTAAATCATCCCTTCATTTCAGTTTGTCTGGTGTTTCTTTGTTGTTAGATTAGGTTAAGCATTTTTTTGCAGAAATACCTCAAATGTTGTGTCCTCCTCAGCCCAGTATATCCGGAGGCACATGATGTTGATTGGTTTCATTAAGATAGTATATGCCGGGTAATGTAATCAGCATGTGTCCTGTGGGGAGATTCTTTGAGATTCCTAGTATCCTCTTTCTCAAATGTCTCTCCTCTAGTAGCTTCAGCGTCCTGAGAAGTCTTACCTGAAGCAGTGATTACCATCACACTAATTTTCTAACTCCATCATTCTTTCTTCATTATTAGTTGGCATTCTGCCGTAAGGGAGACCTTTTCCTTCTTCCTCGTTGATTTATTCATTTATATCCGTACTGACTCAGAATTCACACTTGATTCAGTGGGTTGTGTTCTGTCGCTGTCATTATTCATTTTGAAACTTAAATTGTCCCATACTCAGCCACTGGGAGTCCCTTCAGGTGGGTGCTTGTTGGGGTTTTTCAGAAATAAAATGCCGTACATTCAGCTAAAATCCCCACTCTACTGCTATCTTTCTCTTTTCCTTTTCTCCCTTTCCAGATGTGGTTACAGCCCCATCGTTGATGCGTGCAATTTCCAAATGTTCTTGTTTTTTACTATGTGCGTGTCCATAAATGTTTTGACTGTACATAGTTTTGTTTACGTATATTTTTTAAATAGGCACACATTGTATCATGAGATAACAACCCTTCACCACTTGCCTTTTTTGCTTCAGCCTGTTCTGAAGTTTTTACCTGTGTTTGCCTGTGGAGTTCTATGGTTATAGAGCAGGAATGAGCAAATCACAGCCCCCAGGGCCTTGTGGAACCCAACTTTGCCATCTGTTTACATATTGTCTATGGCTGCTCTCATGCCACAGTGATAGCTGAATTGTACAGAGACCATATACTACCACAAGCCCAAGTTATTTATTGTCTGACCCTTTACAAGAGAAGAATGCTGACCCATGGTATAGAGTATTCTGCTGTGTGAGTAACCACTGCATATCTGATTCCCTAGCTATAGAGTTAGGCTGATTCCACTTTTTCCACGGTTACAGTGTTTCCCAAACATCCCTCTTTATCTCCTTATGCACACATGCAACTATCTTTGGGATAGATACTGACAAGGATAATAGCTGGGTTGTGGAGAATATCGAGTTGGACCATACAATAATTTTTAGGTCATATATGATAATTCTGATGGGGTAAAACTGTGTTTAGGTTGCAGTGTTCCTGCTAAACAAGTTACCACACAAGTCTTTGTATTTCTAGACTCATGCTAGCTAGCCAATATACCTTTCCTGTAAAGTAAATATTCTCTATCTACATTGTCCAATGTGGTTACATGATCTAGAAGCAGGTCTTCCAGCCACAATATATATGTGTAATGTAAAGTGGTGATCATAAGCCCCAAACACAGAGTGACCTTTTTAACCAAATTGACTTCTACTTGCTCCTCACTATATGATTGATCAGGGCAGGCATTAAAAGCTCAAAGAAAATTTAAACAAAAATTGGAAAATATGTTTACTTAATTCTTTTTTGGCAGTGGAGGGAAGCCATGATGTTTAAACTATAACCATGGAGTCGGTGTCAAAGACCTACATAGATGTACTGTTCAGTGGAAGGTGTTTACACTGTATCTGGGAAGGCAGTGTCCCTGTGTTAGTCCATTCTGCATCACTGTAGTGAAATACCTGAGGCAGGCTAACTTTATAAAGGGATTTATTTAACTCATAGTTTTGGAGTCTGAAAACCCAAACAGCATTGCTCAGACTCTGGCAAGGGCCTCCCTGATTTCATCACTGCATGGTGGATGGCAGTGGTGGGAACCATGTGTGGGAGCAAGCAATCACATCTCTAAAATGGGAAGCCAGAAGCTAAGGTTCCCCAATCCCTTCCAAGGGTATGCCCCCAGTTGATCTAGGCTTCCCATTAGGCCACACCTTGGAAAGGTCCCACCACCTCTTATCATTGCCACCCTAGATTCCAAACTCCCAGCAGGTGAACCCTTGAGTTCACATGTCCAAATCATAGCAGATCCCTACCACCACCTGGTTGCATAGTGACCACAAGGTCTGTGCACGAATGTGTGTGTTTACTGCTCTGAATACAGGTGTGTCTGTTGTGTGACCTCACAGGAGGACACTGGCTGCCGGCTCTTCTGCTTACCTATGGAAACCCCCTAGCCGAAGTTCCAGCATGAGCAGTTTGGTGAGCAGCTACTTGCAGGTAATGCTGAAAACACTGGGGATTGCCTTGCAATTGTGTCAACAGGGTATGTTCTTGCCCCTAGTGACTCAAGAGTGATATCCTCAAATACCTGTTGTTTCAGCCAGAGCAGAATAACCTCTAAAGTTATATCTACTACTTCCTGGAGTTCAGATTTTTACAATTAAATACATTTAGGTCTTTTTTAAATTTAAAGATTTTAATGGATCTTGAAAGAAACAGACTATCACTGGTGGTGGGTGTGGTACAATGGGCAAGCAACAGTTTAAATATAACAGATTGTCTAAGAGCCAACATCCATTCATTCTGTTGAAGAGGCCAGACAGGAAATGCAGGTGTGCATGTCAGGGGAGCTCACACACCTGGCCTCATGGCTTTGGAATATACTGCTGATCTCCTTGTGGCATAAGCTTTGAGCAAAAGTGTTCTGGTCCTTTGAATAGCTTGTTGACTATTGTAAGTCAGTTATTTTTACTTCTGCTCTCATTAAACTCTAAAGCTTCTCCAGGTAGCTTTACCCTAAAACCACTTGTCTTGTGTTCCCCCACCACCCAGGCTCAGGAGATGGCCTCCAGCTTTGACCTTAGCAGTCCCCTAAACAACGAGGCCCTGGAGGGCTTTGATGAGATGCGGCTAGAGCTGGACCAGCTGGAGATGCGGGAGAAGCAACTGCAGGAGCGTGTGCAGCAACTGGACAGGGAGAACCAGGAGCTAAGGGCAGCGGTCAGCACGCAGGGAGAGCAGCTACAGGTGGAGAAGGAGAGGGGACACACTGCGGCAGAGGACAACATCCGCCTCATGGGCCTGGTAACCGAGCTCCAGAAGCAGTGCGAGGTCACACAGGCTACCCAGAACACTGTGAAGGAGTTGCAGATGTGCCTACAGGCCCTGGAGCTGGGTGTGGCCATGAAGGAAGATGGCCACTCAACTCTGCAGCAGCTGGAGGCCATGCTGCAGCCCCTGGCACGGGAGCTCGAGGCTGCACGGGATTCCCTGGGCAAGAAGGACCAGCTTCTAACCAGACTCTCGAACTGGCTGGCCAGGGCTGAGCAGAAGGCAGATCCAGCACTGGACACGGAGTGGCAGCAAGAACACATGCCCACTGATTCGACCCTGAAGATCAAGGAGCTGGGGGAAAAGCTTCAGGCCCTAGAAAGGGAGAGCACCAAGGTCCAGGAGCTCAACCAGCAGCAGAGTGCCCAGCTGGAGCAGCTGGCCAAGGAGCTTCAACTGAAGGAGGAGGCTGTGGCTGGCCTGGAGCGCCAAGTGAAGGAGATCGCCCCACTCCAGGAAGAGCTGTCTGGGAAGGGGCAGGAGGTAGCCCTGCTCCAGCAACAGCTGCAAGAGTCACTGGCCCACTTGAGCTCCCTGAAGGACGAGCTGGCAGGGGTAAAACAGGAAGAACAGCGGAGGCGGGAAGAGAAGGAGCTGCTGGAGCAGGAGGCTAGGTCGCAAACCCGGCAGCTACAGCTCCTGGAGACCCAGCTGGCCCAGGTGAATCAGCGTGTGAGCGACCTGGAGGAGCAGAAGAAGCAGCTCATCCAGGACAAGGACCACCTCAACCAGAAGGTGGGCACTTTGGAGCGGCTTGCTGAGCAGCCAAGTGCAGAGCAACCTGCGATCAGTGAGAGGAGTGAGTCCCTGGGCCCCCTGCACAACACCTTGCAACAGCCCTCTGAGAAGCCTGAGGAGGGGCAGCAGTGCCTACTGAAGGGCCAGATGGACAGCGCTGAGGGACAGCAGGGCACCCAGGAGGAGGAGCTCCAGCAGGCCAACAGGGAGCTGCAGAAAGAGTTGCAGAACATGGTTGAGCGCAACCAGCTCCTGGAGGGCAAGCTGCAGGCCCTGCAAGCCGATTACCAGGCCCTGCAGCAGCGGGAGGCAGCCATCCAGGGCTCCCTGGCCTCTCTAGAGGCTGAGCAGGCCAGCATCCGGCAGCTGGGTGACCAGATGGAGGCCAGTCTCCTGGCTGTAAGGAAGGCCAAGGAGACCATGAAGGCCCAGGTTGCCGAGAAGGAGGCTGCCCTGCAGAGTAAGGAGGGTGAGTGCCAGCAGCTCCGGAAGGAGGCAGAACAGTGCCGGCAGATGGCAGAGGCCCAGAGCCAGGAGCTCAGAGCTTTAGAGAGCCAGTGCCACCAGCAGACCCAGCTGATTGAGACCCTCACCACAAAGGAAGGCCAGCAAGGGCTCGGCCCACCCCAAGATGACGCAGTCCAGCTGGCCATATCTCAAGCGCAGCTGGAAATCCATCAGGGGGAGGCCCAGCGGCTGCAGGCTAAGGTGGTAGAGCTCCAGGCTAAGCTCCAAGCAGCCCTAGATGACCAGGACAAGGTGCAGAGCCAGTTGTGTGTGGCTGAGGCAGTTCTGAGGGAGCACAAGACCCTGGTGCAGCAGCTAAAGGAGCAGAATGAAGCCCTCAACAGGACCCACGTCCAGGAGCTGCTGCAGTGCTCAGAGCGGGAAGGAACGCTGCAGGAAGAGAAGGCTGATGAAGCCCAGCAGAGAGAGCAGGAGCTGCAGGCCCTGCGGGAGGCACTGACCCAAGCAAAATGCACCTCTGAGGAAGCCCAACTGGAGCATGCTGAACTGCAAGAGCAACTGCACCGGGCTAACACCGACACAGCCGAGCTGGGCATCCAGGTCTGTGCACTGACCGCAGAGAAGGAGCGGGTGGAGGGAGCACTGGCCTGTGCTGCCCAGGAGCTCCGGGACTCCAAAGAGGCAGCTTTGAGGGAGCGAGAGGTCCTGGAGCGCCAAGTGGCCGGGCTGCAGCAGGAGAAGGAGAACTTGCAGGAGAAGCTGAAGGCAGCTGAGGAGGCAGCCCACTCCCTGCCTGGCCTGCAGGCCCAGCTGGCCCAGGCCGAGCAGCAGGCCCAGAGCCTTCGGGAGGCTGCACAGCAGGAGCATGACACTCTCAAGTTCCAGTTGAGCACTGAGATCATGGACTATCAGAGCAGACTGAAGGTAATCCTAGCTTCAACCATCGGGTCCATGAGAGGCTGTCCCTGCAGCCAAGAGACAGGTGAAGGCCACAGAATATACTTGAGGTACAGGCCAACAGGGGCAGTCCCCTCCTGCTGTTATAGCTCCAGGAGTGCCTTCTCTATAGGAACTTGTTAGGGACAGAATACTGGGGAGTGATGCCTTACCCGACATGTCTAAACTCAAGGCCATGGCAGATGAAATTAGACCACACAGACGTTTTTAAATGAGTAGCCAACATTTAAAGAGCAGGATGTTTACAAATTCAGTTTTGTGGCTTCTTTTGAAATCTCAAGATCTAAAAGCCTTCGTCTGCTTTCCTACATGGCAACAGACAGCAGGTGCTTGACAGTGGCTACCCACTTCAAAGCAGCACGCATCCTCTGGTTTCCTCTTGCACTCATATATGCCAGCCCCATTGGGCATGTTAGTTTCCAAGCCCTGCCTTGGCCCCTGGAAACCCCTATAGAGAGCCAGGTCCTGGCTCAGGTCCTGTCTCTGGGTCCCAGCTCCTTCAGATGCTCTACCCATAGATGCATAGGGAGCTGACCCCGTTTTTCACAAGGTCCTTGGGACAGACAAGTTTGTGAGGTCAGCAGTTACCACGCGCCTGAGGCTGCTCGAAGAAAACAAAGCCAGGGGGCTTGTCACTAGTCTGTCTGCCTCAAGGCCTCTGCACTCTCAGGCCACTCCTCACCCTCCATTCTTAGGCAGCTCCACGCACCTCCCCAGAAGTGCCTCCCACCCTAGGGCACTCTGCCCCTTGAAGCTCCAGATGAGACTCACAGGCCACATTTTCCCTTCACAGAAATTAAATTTTAAGTTTGAGGACCAAGCTAAGTCTCTCTCCTTAATAAGTCTGAAAGTCTTTTGTTACCAGTAGAGCCTAAAGCTTATTGAGAAGACAGTATAGGAAATGAGCCGTGGCTGGTTTTTACTTGGGTGATAAGGCTGAAGGTGTCTCAGCATGGGCCCATCTCTCATGATCTCTTTCTCATCCTTTCCAGAGTTCCAGCGAGGAGTGCAAAGGCCTCAGGGCCCAGCTTGAGGAACGAGGTCGGCAGCTGCAGGCCGCCGAGGAGGCTGTGGGCAAGCTGAAGGTGGGCTGTGGCCCCCTGTGGACCTGGCAGGGAGAGATCTGGTTTGGGTTCACTGGACCATTTAAGAAGGCTCCTCGTAAGCCTTCCCGTTCCCAAGCTGAAGTCTCCATCAGTTCAGACACCCTGTCATCAGTTCATGAACACCTGAGTTTGTGTCCCTACTCCCTGGGCAGGTCTGGCTGAGCTGCCAAGTGAAGGAAGGAAGTTGTCCACCTTGGCCATCTCTGTCACGTTCTCTAGCCACTGATTATAAACTGAGCCAGCACAGGGGTGGCATTGGTGCCACAAGTGAATCCTGCTCCCTGCTACTCAACCTCTAGCATGGCTCTTGAGATTCTGTCACCCCTTCAACCACCATGACCAGTTGCAGTTGTTGCTGAGGAGTGTGTCACACAAATATGCAGTGAGGGTCTTGACCTCTTAAACTTAAAAAACAACAAAAAAATCTTTCCCTTTACAAGGCACCCTGTCAGCCGGTTAGATGGTCTGTGACACTTTTGGTGGATTTGTGCATGCTGAGTGTCTTCTCCCTCATGTCCCATTCCAGGCCTCCCAAGCAGACATGGGACAGAAGCTGAGCTGCACCAGCAACCGTCTTTCAGAGTGCCAGGCTGCCATGCTGAAGAAGGACAAGGAGGGGGCTGCCCTGCGGGAGAACCTGGAAAGGTGAGTCCACCCACAGAGCATCTGGTGGTTATCAGGGAAGGGGACGTTTGACGCAGTCATTTAGAGACTCAGCCACTCATACTAGAATGAGGAAACCCTTTTGCATGGAAATCCACAAACTCCGAAAATGCAGGTTCCAGAAGTATGCCACAGAGAAGTTAGCTCCTGCTTGCTGCAGACCACAAAGAGGACACACTCTAGCCACATGCTTGGGGAAAACTAAGCTGAGCTAAAAGTCATGACATAATAATAATAGGGATAATGATAGTGGACATTTAAATAATGCTTAAAATGTTGCAGGCACCACTTTAACTACTTTGCTTGTTCAAGTTGAATATACTTTATCCAAAATGCTTGGGACCAGAAATCTTTGTGGATTTCAGAACATTTTGGATTAGGAATACTCAACTCATAATTAGCTATTTAATCCCCCTATCCATTCTATGAAGAAGGTATTCTTTTACCCATTTTCTCCATGAAGAGATCAAATGTACCAAGGACCAGGACCAGCTGTCTTCTTGTTGACACAGGGCAGGGCTTATTGGAACTGGATTGTCACCAGCAAAGACAGGCGTACCCAGTTGTCCTGAGGCTTTGTCCCTCCCTTTTTAGCCATTGCTCACCTCCTGTCACCACTTGCCTTCTAGACTAGGTCCAGGCCCAGTGAGAGAGCCAGAGTGTTTGATGTTCAGTAGCTAGAATGTGCATTTCTTCTCATCTGCTTTTTCCAGTGTTTGAATCCTGTAGGACCCTGGCTACCCTTAGACAGGTCATGTTCTTCTGATGATTTAAATATTAAAAAAAAAAAAAAAACCTTCAACTTTTTAACCTTTTCCATCCTTTTGTGCTAATCCATTCGTTCATTCATTCTTTTTTTCTTTATTTCTTTCTCTCCCCCCCCCACCTCTCTCTCTCTCTTTCTTTCTTTCTTTCTTTTCTTTCAATTGAACTCAGGGGCACTCATGGTGGGCAGTGTCTAATAAACAACTCTAATAATTTTACACTCGACATGAGGTTAGGTTAGGTACTAACCAGTCTCTCTACAAGGCCCTCTGTTTAAGTGTGCCCTTACAAAGGTCTTGTGGGGCCTGGAAGTTTATAGAGGAAGCTTGGAAACCACCACCATAGGGAGTAGCCAATGGGCCATTTTGGGAAGACACCTTTGTTCAGCCAGCACCCTCTGTGGTACACTGAGAGACTCCAGAGTACTCAGAACAGAGTTCACTGGGCCTTGGAGTGTTCTCAGGGGTAGTCCTGCTGTGGGCTCAGGGCCATGTCCCATGTGTAGAGTACCAAAGATACCTGAGAGCTAGGGTCCCCTCTGTAGCTACCTCCAGGAAGCTGTGCCTCTCCTTTCTGTCCTGACTCCTGTTTTTCCTGCTCCTCTCTCATCATCACCCCAAGAGCATTGCCCCTCAGGCCCCTCTCCAGCCTTAGTCCCTGTCCAAGACCCAAGGGGTGTAGAGTTCAGGTCACTTGAGTTGTTCCTAGCAACTTAAGATCACCTTACCCTCCCAGAATTTCATTTTTGTGTTGGAAAGGAGGATAAGAAGAGTCTGTTTCTGGAGTAATGCACAACCTGTGAGCAGACACCAAGGGCTCCCTGCTGTGCAGAGGGAAGGCTTAAAGGGCAGCAGGACTCCTCATTAGAGGCCAGGGGGAGCCCAGAGGCACCAGGAAGTAGAAAGTTGTGGCTAATCAAGAAAACTTACCACTGTCCCTCCACAAGGACCCAGAAGGAACTTGAAAAGGCCACAATAAAAATCCAAGAGTATTACAACAAACTCTGCCAGGAGGCGAAAGACCGGGAGAGAAATGACCAGAAGATGCTCGCAGACCTGGATGACCTGAACAGAACCAAGAAGTACCTCGAGGAACGGCTGATAGAGCTGCTCAGGTGAGGATCAGCCCAAACACACAGCTGGGGACTTTCTCCAGCACTTGGTTTTCTTTAAGACATTTGACTGCAAAGAACACTTCCATGTTTTTTGCACACCTCCTGTTATTAAGCTCTCATGTGCCTGCCGAGTCTGCTTGGGCCCTGGCAGCCTTAGGAGGCTGGATCTCACTGTTCCCACTAGAGCCATCTGGTTTCCATATTGGTATATGATCATTCTCCCACTCTGTACCCAGTCACAAGAGTGACAATAAATGATGTTTAATAATTGATAGGATTTCCCTATTCTCTTCCCCTTTCTGATGAGCTCTTTTCTCCTTCTTTACTGTCCCACTTCCCCCAGCATCAGGGTATGCTATGCCTACATCTCCTCATTCCTTAGGGATTATAAAATAATGATAGTCAAACTGCAACTCATTTGCAAGTTGGCAAACTGCCTGCACGTTGCAGATTTAAAACTCGGCATTTGTGTCCTCCTAACTCAGCCATTGTCATGAGGGCTGTGACAGAAAAGCCCAGTGGCATTCCTGATAGCATTCACATAGTCCAGGATGTGGGTGCCCAGACTTCCGGGAACAGAAAGATCAGATGCTGTGAACCAGCTGGGAGAACAGGGCTAGTCCAGAGAACAAGTCTTCTTGTCTTCTGACAATTTCAAGTGTCCTGGAATAGGTCAGTCATTTCCATATTAAGGCTTTTTTTACTTAAGGAAAGAGGTCTGTGGTTGATTTGGGCTTCCTGGCTGGTGATGGAGCCAATTTTTTTTAGGACCCAAGTGGCTCTATGATTATGTCAGCAGTTCTGAGACCACATCAGTCCTCAGGATGCTGGCTGGGGTTCCAAATGCGAAAAAGCCAAACTTACCACTTCAGGAACTAGAAGCCCTGAAAATGACCACTAGCAGACATGAGGACATCTCTGCATACATCCCCTGGTGCATCAGGCAGACCTTTCTGAAAAGCCTCACTCTTCCCATGTGACCACCAACAGTGACCATACCATCAAAGGAAGTTAGCATCTGATCAGATTTTTAAGCTGGGGATTTTGATCTTTACCAGTGATTAGTGGTTATTTGAACAAACCGTAACATGAAGGGCTTTGAGCACATTAAGATTCAGCCAGGAAGTACGTTTTCCTGGGTTTACTGCACAGATTTACACATTTACTGTCCACGTGCACAGCATGTTTTAGTGTGAACCACAGGAGTCATCTGCAGTGTTGTTTAGATACCCCAGTGGCACGTGACCCATGTCAGTTCTGACCGTTCCTTGCAGTTGACATGCCTCCTGTTTGCACCCACATACATGGTGTCAGTAAAGAACCTGCATGTTTGGGTTGACAGAGGAGACCTAGCATGGGAACAGAGGGCATTTATAAGGTGAGAGTGCATTTTCCTCCTAGGTCTTGGGAAATTTGACATCAGTCTTCTGAAATGAAGCAAGGATAATTCTCTTATTCTCATGGATTCTTTCTTCTAATGTGATTTTTGTCCCAGGGACAAGGATGCTCTCTGGCAGAAGTCAGATGCCCTGGAATTCCAGCAGAAGCTCAGTGCTGAGGAGAGGTGGCTTGGGGACACGGAAGCAAACCACTGCCACGACTGCAAGCGAGAGTTCAGCTGGATGGTGCGGCGGCACCACTGCAGGTCAGCAGTGCTCTCAGGCCACCACCGAAACCCTGTCCTGCAGGCCCAGAACCATAGCCAGTGGCCCTGAATAAGAAATCTGGGACAAGTGTGGGTGCCATGGCCAACTCTCTAGGAAGAGCAGGTTTCTTATTGACTTTGAGGAAGCAGGTGAGGAGGGTGTATTAGTTGGGGTCCTAGCAAGACACTCAAGAAAGACTTATATACAGGTGTGGACAGGATTAAGGGGACCCCCAGGGATGTGGCCCATCAGAGACCAGCAATCCTTTGGCTGCTCCCACGGGGAGCCAAGAGGAAAGTATTGCTGGAACCCAGCAAGAGCTGGTCCTGAGGCTTCTGAAGGGGAACCTGGGCAGTGCCAGAGGTGCACAGATCTCCAAGGGCCTAGAAAAGGTGGGTGAAAATGAAGGGCAGGTTGGAGCTGGGGCAATTGGAGAATGGTCAGCACAGGCCTGTGAGCATCTGGTCTCTTAGAGCCTTAGCCCCTGAGCTGTGGAATGCACTCCTGCAGCGTGGTGTCAGGAAAAGAGGGTTCAGCCACACTCTCTCCTGCCTCCCAAGACTTATGGGAGTAAACTGTTCTCCCCACCGAACTTGCCAGGATGTCTTTAATGGAGTCTTATGTAGTAGGCTTACATTCGCCCTCTACACCAACGGCATAGCCAGGTCTAGAGAGCCATGTGTCTCCAAAGCCCAACACAGAGCCCAGTCTGGAGCTGAGCAGATTGTGAAGACCCACAGGGCCTCATCCTTACAGCTCCACCCTGTTTCATTTCCAGGATATGTGGCCGCATCTTCTGTTACTACTGCTGCAACAACTATGTCCTGATCAAGCACAGTGGCAAGAAGGAACGCTGCTGCCGAGCCTGTTTCCGGAAGTTCAGTGAAGGCCCTGGCTCTCCTGATAGCACCAGCTCAGGCACTAGCCAGGGAGAGCTCAGTCCCATGTTGTCACCAACCCAAGCTGGGTCCCAGGCCATAGGAAACCAAGGTCAGCTTTTGCCTGCTACATTCTAGGTGTCACCCCTTCCCCACTGTGGTTAATTAGCATTAGCAAGCTCAGTTCAATGTCTTCCAAACTTAGATGTCAAAGAGGCACTAAAAATATGCCCCACCAATCTTGAGACTTTCTTGTTGATATAATTGGGATTAAAAAGAGAATACCCTTTTCCTGATATGATCCAGGGTGATTTAACTTGAGACCTAGGTACATATGTACCACCAGTGGAATACATTCCACACTTTGGAAAATTCTGTCCTCCAGACCCTCAGCCCTGGTATCCATCCTCCCTTCCATAGTAACCAAAGACCATGATTTGTACCTGGAACAGCCCATATCCTTCATACTCTCTCTTAATGACCAAGGAGGATGTATTCTCCTTTGTGTCCTCCACTTAAGCAGTAAAATGAAGTGAGGATTGGTTCCTTCTGTTTCTAATCCAGCCCACCCTGTGGACACCAAAATTTGGATGTAGAGCCCAGTGAGGTAGAGCTGATATGGTAAGGACAGAAGTGGAGGTCATCTCTGCTCTGCCATCACTGCTGTTTGCATTTGATCCCTGTGAACTCCTCCTTGACCCAGGTGCGGCCAGCCAGATTTTAGAAATGCTGTTTCTCTTTTGTTTAAGTGGGTTATCAAGGAAATTGTCAGGCCTTATTATTTATTAGGTACAGAGAACTGCTCAGGGATGGGAGTTGTATGTACTTTGCACAGCTTTATATCTTCTTCAAATCGTTTACCTATTTTTTTAAATATTGAATTTTGAAAGTCCTCTACATATTCTGGATAAAATTTCTTTATCAGATATGTGTTTTACAAATATTTTCTCCTAATCTATAACTTGTTTTTTTTCATTTTTCTTTGAAGAATGAAAGTATCCTTCAAAGAACAGAAATGTATAGTTTTGATGATACTCACTTTATCATTATTTTTTTTCTTTTCTTTTGGTGTCATAGCTAGCTTTGCTTAATCCCAAGTATTCAAAGTCTTCTGTTTTCTCCTGGAAGCTTTATAGTTTTAGGTTATATATGTAGGCCAGTGACCTGTTTAGAGTTAATTTTTGTGTATGTTGCAAAGTATAAGTAGAGATTTACTTGTTTTGGTTTGGTTTGGTTTAGTTGTCCAGTGGTTCCAAAAACATTGGTTGAAAAATCTATTCTTTTTACCCAGAATTACTTTTGCAACTTTGTTAAAAGTCCGTTGACCTTATATATGTAGATCTGTATCTGGACTTTCTGTTCCATTCCATTTATCTATGTGCCTATTCTTTCACCAGTACCATACTGTTATGGTTGCCATAGTTTTATACAGTATCTTAAAGAGAGGAATGGGTGAGTTCTTCAATTTTGTTCTTTATCAAAGTATTAGCTATTATAGAATTACTGCTTTTCCAAATAAATTCTAGAATGAGTTTGTTAATTTTTACAAGAAAATTCTGATGAGGTTTTAATTAGGATTACTTTGAATTTACAGATGAGTTTAGAAAGAGCTGACATCTTAATGAAATTGACTTTTCCAATCCATGAACATGGTATAGCTTCCTATTTACTTAGGTCTCTGATTTCCCTCAATGGACATCATTTTGGATCCCTGTTGCCTATTTTATCATCCTTCTTCCAGTCTCAGAGTACAGATTCAGGAATTTAGTTAGGTCTAAGGAAAAAGTCAATCTGTGGGTTCCTTTTTCCAATCCATGCTTTAAATCCTCTATTATACAAACTTGAGATAAGAGGGAAACTGTTCCTTCTAAAGCACAGCAGGGCAGCTTGCATGAACCATTATACTAAACAACTCAGGGGCTTTCCTCACCCCAACGCACTGGAAGATGTTCCAACAATGACAGAATGACACCACACCAAAGTTCTGAGGTTGCTTATTTTGACTTCTGGCATCCCCCATCTGCTCTGTTTTTTCTTTTCTTATCTTTTTCCACCTCACATTTGCCCTAATTTTCTATAATATATGCTAGCAAGTGCTTATGGTTGAATAACTGACCCAGTAGCTTCTCTATAGTGGCCGTCCTATTGAAAGGCCTACAAGGTCAAACACAAGGCCCCTGATTGGAAGCGTAATTCTTGCTGTAGCTCCTTGAGCTGAGGAAAAGTCTGCCCCAACTCACAGTGGCTCGGGCAGGGAGAGGTGCTGTGCAGGTCATAATCCTGCTTCCAAGAGGCACAAGCACATACTGCCTGTATCTTACAAAGCAGGGACTCAGTGGCACCGAAATGTGTGTTCTTTATTGTTTCTTTCCTGAAAACATTTTGATAGGTTTTTCCTTTAAAGTAATGGCCTTAGAGAAGTTAGAAACTGAAATCTTTCTAAGCCCCTGATTTTATTTTAAAAGTCTCTCAGGCTGTTCATTCAGTCTCATCTGCAGCCCCTTTGCTTTTCTAGAATATCTCATATCTGAACATAAAAGCCATCATTCGAGTGACCATTTAAGGCATGTCCCAGCAGCTTGTTCTGTGTAACTATACACCTCACTTTCCCACAGACCCTTCTCCATCCTGTGTATGATGATTTGTGTGTCTCCTCTGTCCTGCTCTCCTCTGCCATCCAGGAATAAACTCAGACTTCAGGCCACCAGATGACGCTGTGTTTGACATCATCACAGATGAGGAATTGTGCCAGATCCAGGAATCCGGCTTCTCCTTACCTGAAACACCCACTGAAACTGACTCTTTTGATCCAAATGTGGCCGAACAGTGAGTAGATGGCACCTCCGTTCCCTGGGTGCTCATTGTGTGCCTCTCCCTTGGACTTTCTTATCAAAAGACCAGGAAAGTAAGACACTGGAAGCCGGATTGGCTATCTTTGCTAAAGAATAGAGGGTGGGACAGGATGCACACGAAGAGTGCCAGCACTTGGGGAATTGTCAGTGTGGAACCTTGCCAGAGAGTCCTGGGAATGTCTCAGTGGTACTCTGGTCTCGGCATCTTCTCTAAGGCATCTTCCTTGGCTTGGACAACTGTATGTGTCTACTTGGCAACATATCAGACTGAGTAGCTTAACCCACAGAAATGAACTTCCTCATAATTCTGGAAGCTGGAAGTCCAAGATGGAAGTACTGGCAGAAATGGTACCTCCTCTCTCTTTGGCTTAAAGATGGCCACCCTCTTGCTGTCCCATCACATGATTATCTTCTGTGTACACACCCCTGGTACCTCCCCGTATCTTCTGTCTACTCCTCTTATACTGGATTAGAGCCCACCCTATAGCCTCATTAGCTTAATCATCTTTCCCTATCTCCAAGCACAGTTAGTTTAATCTATTGAGGGTTAAGCTTCAGCCTGTGAATTTGAAGCAGAGACCCACTGTTAGGCCCATAAAAAGCAACCCAAACATATAAAAAGTAACCCATGCTATGCTGCCCTTGGCCATGGTTCTGGAACATGCTGACCTTTACAAGCTTTGTTCCCAAGCCCTCAGGCTCCCAGTCCTACTCACCTTACCACCTACCCACCTGGCTCGCCAGCCCATGAAAGCAGAATGTGGCCCAGTGCTAATGGAACAGAATGACCCTGGGCCCTGGGGGTTAGGGAGAGCATGCAGCCCACACAGTCAGGGAGACTTCAGTGAAAGTGCTCCAAGAAGGAGAGGAAAGGTGCAGAGGGGCAGAATCAGCAGCGATTAGGGACTGTCTTAGACTCAGTAATGGGGAGCTTTTTCCTTGAGTTATAAAACAGTGAGTTCAGTTCATCTTTGGGAGACACTCATCAGACTGAGTAACAATGCCACAAGAAAGGAATCTCAGATTTAGCTGCAGTCATCTTAGGTAGATGTGTTTTCTGAGGCATCCTTTAGATAGGCCCATCCCGGGCCCTACAGTCTGACAGCAGCAAAAACCTAGAGGCAAGTCTGTCAACTTGCAATATGCAGCGCTCAAGGGAGTTTCCACTCATCTGACCTGACCTGGGCTGTGCCCTCCTGAGCACTGTGAGAACACTGCAGCTGGCATGGTCAGGGCAGCCTTTGGAGGGACAGAAACATCAGCTGCACATGTACTTTGTGCTCACTCTCCCTTTGACCCTCTCATTTTTCTCACGGAGCCAACAAGGTTTATGAGGAGAGCTTTGCAAGTATTCAGCTTTTATCACCTGTCAAGTCAGTACATAGCAGGTAAGGTGAGCAGAACCAGCAGCCTAGGGGCCCAGGAGGACACCTTTGGCTTGAAAGTGTCTCATTGCCTCCCGTAACCGGCATGAGAAGAGATCCCCCTGCAGCTCCCTTTCTCATAACCCCACACCTTCCCCTTTCCCAGTAGGAACAAAAGCAAAAGGTATTCCGCCTGCTGACAAATATGTGTGGTTTTGTTCTTGGGAAAATAGGAACTGTTTCAGGGAAAGGAAACTGCCGGCCAGGATGCCGGAAGCCTCCAAGGCGGATCTGGGATTGTGATGGGAACCTGCAAGCCCTGCCCTTCACCTGTGGGTGAAGCGCTACTCCTTGTCAGCAAAGGCTTGTGTCATGGGGACTTCTTTGTGGGTTAGCTAGAGATATACCCAAGCCTGTCCGGCAGCTTTGCCTTACATTCTTTTCTTTCTGAGTCTTAAGACCCAGTCAGAAACACCAGGAGTCTGAGAAAGGGTGGGAGATCTAGATCTCTGGATTTACATGAGCATCCCTGGCAGGAAACCAGGAAGAATAAACAGATCCAAGATAAGCAGTGGTCCAGGTGGGATTGAGCACCAAGTCTAAACCCTCGGGGAGAAAAAGGCCCTTGGACATGGTGCTGTTGAATGCAATTGTGGAGCCCCTTCCCCATCTCTGCTGTCCTTAAACAGCCTCATTTAGGCCCCTTGCTTAGGAGAAGATATTCCAATCCCATTTTTCAGTGAGGAAACTGAGGCTTTGGGAGGTTGCATGACTTTTCCTGTCCTCATAAGCATCAGAACTAGACTGGGGGCTCAGAACTCCACATCTCCATCTGCCCATCAAAATCCTGCCCTTCTCCCCTGCTGCCTGTCCCCTCCTCCACACATACACAGATTGTAGGGCGGAGAGGTGGCTTGCCATCCATCCTGGCAGTGATGGAACAAAGAAAGTGTCACAGTCAGCTGCACAGGTGGACCTGGCAGTTGTGCCAGGGACTTGTTAAGCAACCTCCATACTTGGTTCTGCCCAAATGGTGGCATACAAAGGTGCACAGCCCCTCTCCTGTGGTGCACGTGACCAGGTGTCCAGCTTTTCTCAGGATTGAGGTGGCAGGCAGAGAAGGAAATCAAGCTCTTGTCAGCTGCTAAATCAGAAGAGGATGTTGGGCAACAGCCAGCAGGGGCCTCAGGTTTTGACCCCCTTGGCCTCTGCTCAGCCCCCATCGTGCACAGCCTCCCTTCTTGGCCACTAGATACACAGATTGAGGTACAAAGCTTATGCTCTAGAATCAGACACATTTGAACAAGTCCCCGGCCTGCCACCTCCAGGCTTCATGGCCCATAGCAGTGCAGTCCCTAAACTCAGTCCCCTCTCCTGTGCAGAAGAGACTGGAATAGCACCTGCCCACTGGGTTCTTAGGAAGAGTAGATGAGAGTCTTTTATGCAAAGGACTGAGCCACAGCCTGTCACCTAGAGCCTTCTCTAGAGGTGAACTGTTTCCCCGATGTTCAACACTGATTTGCAGTGTCAGGAGCTGAGCTGTGTGTGTGTCCACTGCTGTGCAAGACCTCAGTACCTTGCACACCACAGCCCCATCATCTTCTTCAAAGAAAGTTTCTCCTCCAGATACCTGGTTGACACGGGAGCTGAAACTTGCCCACAGAGCAAATGAGCCCACAGAGCCTCTTTGCCAGTAATTGCTTCAGAACTAGTGCTCGTGGTCAGAGTGAGGGAACTGTGGTCATCAGCCAGGAGACTGGATGCCTGGTATCTCAGAGAAAAAATAAGAACAGGATATGGTTATAAAGCCACCTTGTGCTTGGGTTAACCCAAGATCTCTACCTTCAGACAAGTGCAGAGTTAGCAGGCACCCTGCTGTGTGAGCTATCACAGGTATTAATCTCTCTGAGCTCATTTTCTCATCTGAAAAATAGGTATGACGGTGTTAGCCTTCCTATCAAATGGTGTTTTTCCTTCTGTGGCCACCATCTTCCCACCAGTGTGCTCACCGAGAACACCTGGGTGGCCAAGGGGCCCCTGACACGGGATCACCTTGTGTTTAGCACATCTCAGATGATGCAGGCCTCTGGCCTCTACTACATCGCTCTCTGGGGCTGGAGCCAAGAATGTTACTACCCCTATAAGCTGGGAGTTTGTTGGGGTGTTGCATGTTTTTTACCCTCAGACCCCAGGGGAATCTGGATTCCAGTGGATCCTCATCTACCTGGCCTCCTGCCCCCAGTCCCCCTTGCATCCTAAACCTTTGACACCATGTTCTGCTGTGAGCAGCCAAGGCAGGGAGGAGAAGAGCAGGTCTGAGGTTGAGAGCTGACTTTGCCCTCCCCTGACTCAGGCTCCTCCTCTGTGGAATGGAGGCTGTTACAAGAGCATCTTGGACTTCCTAGACTGTGGTGTGGATAGAGCTGAGGGCAAGACGGGAAGCTCTCTATAACCTACATGTGCTGTGCTAGTGGTTATTGCCAGTGATGACCCAGGTCTACTCTCAAGTGTAGAGTACAAGTACCCAGAGTGGACCAGCGAGTGTCGGAGGAGATAGAGGAATTGAAGGAAGGTTCTGCTGCTGTCCTGGGGACAATCAGGCAGCATTTTTCTAAGCTGTGGAAGGACCTGTACAAATGATTGGGAGCTTGGGAGAGGACACACTCCAGTAGGTACCCTGTCTCATTTGACTTACTCTGCAGGCAGGCACTCGGTCAGGGAAACCCCGCGGCCCCAGCAGTCCCCCTCCATTGCCATGCTCATGTTGGCTCACGCATGGCCCTTGGACTGTACTCCATGCCTCATGGCCACCCCAGTCGTGTGAATGGTGAACCAAGCCTTGGGGATGCTGCGTGACTTGGCCGGGGGTGCCCAGGAGGGAGCGTTGCCCAGCACTGGCTGAGTGCCCAAGCCCTGCCTCTCTCTTCCAAGACACTGTCAAGGAAGCTGGAGTCTGTCTAGTGGCCGCACTGTCAGAAGTGTTCCTCATTAAGATAAGTGCACAAAGGGGGATGACCAAACTCCCCCCTGAAAGCCCATTAGAGGATAAGAGACAGCCTTGCCACCCTGCAGAGTGCAGACTTGGTTGTTTGAGGAAGCACTTGGTCCATGTGGCCTGAGTGTAATTAGGAAGTTCTCCTCATGGATGCATATGGCATGTTTATGAAACAGAGCATGGAATCATATGGGCCTTTCAAGGCCTGGCCTGGGCTCAGCTGAACCACCCCTCAGGAGGCACACAGCTGATGTAGAAGGCTTCCATTCTGCTTCAATAGGTCTCATAAGAAAGAATAACTACTCCTGGCTTAGGGGGTACTCTTACCCACGAATGTAAACTGTGCCAGGGGCTTTGCTTTTATTATCTCAAGTCCCTCATACCAGCCCTGAGAGGTAGGTGCTGTTAAGATCCATGCCTCACCAAAAAGAAAGAAGTAGTGGGCAGAGGTTGGGATTTGCTTAGGGTCTCGTCAGCTGGTGAATATCAGGGATTTAGTTCTGACCTGTTGTCTGTCTGACCCCCAGACCACATGGTTGAACTAGTCTGGCCTCCCTTACCTCCTGGGGGACTCCACTTAGCTGTTACAAATGATTCTCCACATTTTGGCCAGTGATTTGAGGAATGCGTACACCCAACAATTATCTTTAACCTGTTTATTAGATTGTCAGGATGTAATGAACTTTTGTAAAGTCTGACATTTAAAACTCTCTCATCCTGTGGCTGTATTATAGAAGCTGAACAGAGGTACCCCTCATTTTGGGCAGGAGGCTAGAAACCACAATGAAAGAGCAGGGTTATTACCATTGATGTGTTCATTTCCTTCATAGACATTGCCCCAGAAGCTTGCAGTTTTAACTTATTTCTTGTGTTCTGAGCCTAGAAGTAACTGGGTTTTTTAAAAATATATTTTCATACATCTTGTGTATTTTTTATTTGTTCCTTTTAATTATACATGATGGTAGAATATAATTTGACATACATACAGAGTATAACTACCCATTCTTGTGGCTGTACATGATGTGGAGTTACATTGGTTGTGATTTCATATATGAACATAGGAAAGTTATGTCCGATTTATTCTATTGTCTTTCCCATTCCCATCCCCTCTCCATTTCCCACCCCCCACCCCCCGACCCCATCCAATTCAGTGAACTTCCATTCCTCCCTCCCAGTAACTGTTTTTTGTATGCTCAAACACCAGCATTAAAGTTAAATGCTCCTAAAGGTAAAAGTAGTTTGAAGACTAAGATTTTTATTTCTTGGTCATGAAACTGATACGCCGTCTGATGTGTGGGTGTGTGCGTTCACATTTGTATATGTGCATGTGGCAGGTCTTTGATAAATTCCCTTTTTAAAATGAGTGGAGCCACTGAAGGATCCACTCCAAAAATGATGCTTAAATTTGTTCTAGTCTTAAGCTGTTTTGCACCTTCTAGCATGTTCATGGACCAGTGGAATTTCAGCCAACTCTAATTTGTTTGGGTCCACATACAGTCTCCAGGGCTGGTCCTCCCAGGATTAGTCAGAGAGAACCTTAGCATCACTTATGCAAAAGTCAAAACCTAAGGTGTGGCAGACATTGTCCTCATTCCTGTTCGGTGCCTGGTAATTGAGGTCTGAGCCACATAGACCTCACTTGTCTTCAAGGCCACTCCCATCTCCACTCCTTGCCTAGTGGTCAGAAGAGTCTTCTGTACTTGGGAGCCAGCACATCACCTTCCACCAACAGCTTTGTTGTCTGTGCTCCCTCTTCAGCCATCAGCCCCAGTCACAATAATGACAAACCTGAGATCCTAAGATCCTCATCCCCTTGGCTTCAGTGTTCTTGGGGATGAAGAAGTCCTTAAAAATTGTAGCCCCCCCCCCACACACACACATACACACACTTTGAGCATCAGGCCTGGGTCTTAAGAAGAGAGCAGGGTATGTCCATGTCTACAAAGCATTGCATGCCAGCCACCATGTCTGATGTCTTCTCCGTGAGAATGCAGATGCCATAAACAAAGCCTCCCTCATCAGTTCCAGAGGACGTAGCCACGCTCCTGCCAATTCCAGAGCAGTTTCTCCAGGTCCAGCAAGGCCAACAGCTAGAACATGCTGATGGCCTCTACATTGTGAGAGGTAGAAAAACTCTTGGAACTGTCCTCAGAAGACTTCCACTGACTTGAGACTCTCAGGCAAGGGAGACAGCCAATATCCTTCACAAGTTTCCGGAAGTTCTTCTGAAACTTGAGGCCAACGAAGGCATAGAGCACAGGGTTAAGGCAGGCCCGCAGGTATGCAATGGCCTCTGTCACCAGGATGGCATAGTCAAAGCTGGTCATGGTATAGTACTCCCAGCTCGTACTGCGAATGAGCTTGACAAGATTGAAGGGTGTCTGGGTGAGTAGGAACACGGCCACCACGAGGAAGATGATCTTTAGAGATTTGTGCTTCCGGAAACCTCGAGCATGAAGCAGAGTCTTGATGATGATGGAGTAGCAAATGATCATGGCAAGCAGTGGCAGGAAGAACCCCAGAGACATCTGGGAGGCAAGAACCATGGTGGAAATCTCTTCATCATGGTAGCCGCAGATGACCTTGTCGAGATGTAGGACATTGCTATAGATGATCTGTGGCAAGGAAACCAGCAGGGAGACTACCCAGATAATCAAGCAGATGACCTTGCCACAGGTCATCCGCTTGGCCTGCTGGTTATAGGCCTTGGTGGCCTGAACCACAGCGATGAAGCGATCCACGGTGATGCAGGTGAGGGTGAGCATGGACGTGTAGAAGTTAATCGTGTATATGCCCCGGAGGATCTTGCACATGACCTGGCCGAAGACCCACTCATGGAAGCCTGCATAGGCCCAGAAGGGCAGAGTGCAGACAAACACTAGGTCAGCCAGGGGCAGGTTCACCAAGAATACATCTGTCAGGCTCTTCAGCTTCTGGTAGAAAATGTACACGACCAGCACCAGGGAGTTCCCCACCAGGCCAGAGATGAACACTGCCGCATACACACAGGGCAGGAAGATCTTTCTGAACTGCAGGAAGCCCTCATGCACCTTGCTACTGTCACTAGAGGTGTTGAAGAGCATGGGATCTGAGTAATCGTAATCGTACTCCTCCATGGCATCTGCTCTGAGGTTCTCCTGTGAGTGAAAACCCAGGAAATATATTTGGAACTGAGAATGGCACTCCTGTCTTACCACTGCCCCCTGTAGGTACAAGTAGGCATCACCCCCTAGTGTTCTGCCTGGTAACAGCAAAGTCAAGCATACTGCAGGTGACCAGTTTCTAGGGGAAGCTGTTCAGACAAGATGAGGAACATTTTGTTAACCCTAGAATTCTCAGGATCTCACCCAGCTAGTCCCCACACATATCCCATAAAACCTTGCGCTCAGTGGTTTCAAAACAAAATCCACCATGCATTCCAGACCCCTTTGCTCCACACGAGGGGGCCTGTCCTCATCCACCCAGGCCTCACAGCAGCTGTCTGCCCATCCTCTGCCTCATTTGCAAAATTTCTGAAGCTCCAGTAAGTGGGCTTCTCCTGTCAGGAGACTTCTGGTGACCAGAGATGTTTGGGGATGACAAGGACTTCTGTCAGGGTGGGAAGTCCTTCCTGCTTACATCTTCTTAAAAGGGTGACAGGTGGAAAAGGAAGGCACTGGAAAAGCTCACACTGCCCAGTACCTTGGCTGAGCTGGCTTCATGACTAGAGAGTTGGGTGGCTGGCCTCACTCTCTAACCAGACTTTCCCCATATCATCTGTCACAGTTCATGACAGCCACCATCAGAGACCTTTCCTGAAGACTTTTTAATCTTTAGGAATCTCTTTAAAGGTAGATTTCCTGGGGAAGGGCCATGCCTTAGTGTCTAGGATTAGTATTTTGGGTCTTCTTTCACAAATGGAAGACCCAATTGAAATGGGCGCCAGCTGGGTGACCCTAGCAGTGAGACTTTCTTGCCTGGGGCTCCATGCCTACAGCGGGCTCACTTCTATCTGACCCTTGTTTGCCCTGTGGCCCTGCTAAGGACATGAGTGATGTAACCTGTGGTTGGGCTAAAGAGTGCCAGGCCAGCCTAGCCACTTTAGCCCTTTAGCCCTTGCCAGCTCATTCCAGTGACCCAGGTTCATAACCCTCCAGCTCCTCCAGAAGATGTCTTAAGAAGAGCAGGTATTTGGACATAGCCCCTTGCAGGGTTCAGCACAGTCAAAAACCCGCGAGGCCAGATGACAGCATATAAAGGTGAGGCCATCTCCCCTCTTTAATCCAGTGGAGATACTTTTTTTCCTACAAACAATTGAGTCTGATTGGAAGCAGTACACCCTGGTGCTCCTGTGGACTCCATCTTTCCTGGGGCCAGAAGTGCCTTTTCCCCCCTTCAAAGGACGGCATTGCTCAGTAAATAGTCCCCCTACCTAGACCACAGAAGGTCAGATCTCTAAGGATGATAGGTGAACCAGTAGGTATCCTGCCAAAAAGCTTTCTCGAGTACTAACTTAAGTAGGTCAGATGGTGATCTGTATATGTTATTACTTCATTGGGGACAAAAACTTTTTTTATTCATTTAAAGTAAGAAATAGACAGCTCTCCTTATCTTGAGGGTATGGTCCAACTCCTTATTACATAATTTATTCTTGTCTTCTTTTATCCTCTTCCAGCTTTTGCTAGATCTTTACACTGGCACTGCACATTTACCCAAAGGACCTGTACAAATATCTGTGGAATAATTGGTAAACTTAAGTATAATGCTGGCAGATGGGGACTGGACAGCTCTGTGCAGATAGAATATTAAAAATCACTGCCCCTAGAGGAAAAATCACAAGCATCCATTTCTTTATCTTCTGTAATCAAAATCTTATGTTGATTTCTGAAAATTAAAGTAACTTGGTTATAATGTAAAAAGACTGGTAATAAATAAATGATCATTACAATTCAGACATAGGATATGACCAAAATGTTTTAAAAGTACCTTCAATTGTTTGGGGAAAAAAAATGCATTTACATGATTGGAACAGTGTAAACACAAAGTAAATATGAAAAGGTTATTAGTTAATATGAAAAATTTATTAGTTAAAATGAAAAAAATTATTAGCTATAACTGTTATAACAAATAGGTGGCAAAAAATTATTTTATTCTGATTCTTCACCTTTTTTATTCATAAACCCCTTTAAAATTGCAGGAAAGCTATAGATCTTTCCTCAGAAATAATATATACACACACCTGCAATTCTAGAAGTTCGAGAGCCCCATATTTTGTGGACTCTTGATTGACAATCTATGATAGGTGGTAAACTTTATAATTGTGATTTTTATTTTTTTAAATTGAAAAATAACCACATTTTATCATCAGTTTCCCTCCAGCTGGTAAAATTGTGAATAACTTAGTTCCTCTCATCCTTTATATTTTTCTATAGTAGCCAAAGTTTCTACGGTGGCATATTGTTTTATACTGAAAAAAGAAAACAAACAGTAATCTGGAATAACAGATTGTTTTATAAAATGCAAAAGAAATTAAAAGAAGACAGATTATTCAGTGAACAAATATGGACAGTAACAAGACTCTCTTTACCTCCCTGGTATCTGTTTACACCAGTCCGAACAGTCCTCTCAGCTTATGGGCACCTACTGTGTGCCCAGAACCAAGAGTCAGTAGTTTCACATTTCTCTAATTTAATCCTCAAAGCAGCAAACGGCATTAGTGGAATGAGAACCAAGCACAGATGAACCCCGTAGCCTGGCCATTTTGCTCTGTGCCCTGCTGCAGGCAGTAGTCTGAGAACCCCAACCTGCCTAAGGTTAACCCCCTTCTCACTATAAAGAAAAAGACAAATGACTCACCAGCACAAGTGCCCTGTCAGTTTGTTCTAGAGATGAGCTTGCTCACCAAGCAAGATCTGCCTCTACTCCTCTGTGATGTGGTCTGTGTTTCCGTTGCACATTTAAGCGCTCTTGGCTGGTAATTTAGAGTTCCACCCCTACCTCCATCCTACAGGTCAGAATATACATGGCCAGCCTGCACATGTAATTTGGGGGTCAAAGATAAACACGACTCTGATGCCTCACACCCCCCTCTTCCTGTTTTGACACTCAAGCCTTCACCAGGACCTGAGGGGCAGGTATTTGTAAACCAAAGGCAAGCAGTTAAGTTTGGCTGTGTCAATCCACTAAAGAGGGTGATATTTGTCCCTTCACATTATTTCATTCCCTAACCACACATCTCTTTGGAACAGTTTGGGTCAGGACCAATGTTAAGTCCATGCTGTGGGCTGATCTGTATGTGTACACAGAGCTCCAACCAGCAGCCCTGTAGAGTGGTATTATCCCCATTTTTAAAATTGCTGTTTGTTCTAATTAGTTATACGTGACAGAAGAGTGCATTTGGATTTATTGTACACAAATGGAGCACAGCTTTTCATTTCTCTCTCTGGTTGTACATGATATAGAGTCACTTCATTCATACAATCATACACGTATTTTGGGTAATGATAATAGGCAAAAACGCTATATAAAGCGAAACTGGAACCAAAATTGTAGCCCCTGGTACACATGGCTAGTAACTGGTAATTCAAAGAGCCAAACTCAGGTTTCAGTCAATGCTTAACCAGTGGCCCAGAGCTGTTAGGGTGCCACTGCCAGGATCCAGGGGTGAGACATTACTGCTCTTGGGAGGAGAGGTTAGCTGTAAGGCTCTGGTGGGTGGCAAGGGCTGTGGAGGATGAGTTCATGGCTAAGACTTCTGGCTGGTGACTCTGCCAGAATGCCTGGTACAGCCCAGTCTCAACCACAACACACAGGCCCCCGCAGGCAGTGCCCACCCACCAAGCTAATCTGCATGACCTCTCTGGTTTCATGGGGCTACCCTCTCCACACCTGGAGTCCCCCACATGTTGGCATCTTGACCTCAGCACAGCTGGAGTTCATTCCCGTGGTCCAGCATTACTGACACTTTTAGGAAATCGTACCTGGAAGACAGGAATGGAAGGAATATCTTCCTGGGTCTCATTCTCCACCAGCTCCAGGGGGTGAAGGCAGTAGGAAGAGGTGTGGGCTCCCTTTCTGCCACCCCACAAGATTGATGCTGTCCTGCCCAGCAAAACTGGTGGCTCTTCCTGAGGGTGGGTGTCAGGAATTGGAAGTAGAGACCAGTAGCAACCTCAGGATCCAGAAACTAACACTCAATTTACTGTGAACCAGTAAAATTGTGCACTGTGCTGGATGTTTCCCTTGAACAACTGTCTAATCCTAGTCACTCCCTAATCACTTACGGATGAATAAATGGAAGATTAGAGTTAACAAGAACATACATGTCCCTAAGAATCACCTAGCCTGTGCTTCTTAACCTGATATTTCTGAGTATGGAACTATCCCAGGGAGCCCCAGTTAAAGATCTGCAGACCTCTAGTTGGGTTTTCAGGCCTTGTATGAATTAACTAGTTCAAATTGTCCTTTCCACCAAAGTACGAATGAGTGAAATGTTCTTTCAGGGCAAGAACCAAGAGGCCATGTGAATGCAGGGAAAGGTGGACAAATGAATAAATGAAAGTGCTGAGCAAAATACTGCAGGGGAGATGAACCAAAGTCCTCATTTTTCCAAAGGACTTTTAGAAAAAAGGATAGCCCTTTAGAGTAAGACTGCCTAAGGCTGGACTCTTTAAGCTGTGAGAGATTCATTTTTTTCCAGGGACAAGTCAGCTATGCCAGGGTGGTGTTAGAATGACCAGAGCCTTGTCAAACCTGTTTGGCTGCCTGTGCTCATGAGAGAATCACTCATGTCATGGGGAAGAATGGAGGCCTGTCCCCAGTGCCCTCCATGATCATGCATGCTTGCCCACAAGTGTTGGGGGGGACACCTATATTTGAGAAAGCATGGCACATTGTCATGACCACCCTCTAATGGCAAGTTCAGGGTAGCATAGAAGACCTGCAACTAAAAAGGAACCAAGCTACTCGCAGTCTGAGGGCCAAAGTTTAGTTCAAAACCACTTTACAAAATGCCTTTTATTATTTGCAGTACTGATTGTACCAAGGGCATTACTTTTTTCTGAAACAAACCTCTCAACTTGAGGGTTAATACCCAGTCGTATACATCTTAGATTTACCATGAATCATTGAACATCTTCTAAGTTTAATTGGGGGGAGAATAAAAGGGAAGTGACAGACATCCCTGCTGCAGATTTAACACTGTTAACTTGCTCACTTCTTCAGGAGACCTGGCATTCTCAAGTCAGAGCTGTGGGGTGCCACTGCCAGAATCCAGGGGTGAGGCATTACTGCTCTTGGGAGGAGAGTCTAGCTCTAAAGCACTGGTGGCTGGCAGGGCTGTGGAGGATGAGTTCATGGCTAAGATCCCCAGACTGGTGCGTTGCTCAGCAGCATCTGGCACTGGTCATGAGGATGGGCTGCAGGTTTGCATGTTGTGGTCAGACCATAGGCACCAAATCATCAGGACTCGAGATACTAAAAGTGTTCTTTTGGTTTTTAAGCAAAAAAGGAAGCCAGTGACTAAATGGAAAACTACTAGGAATTTTCTTTATAATGAAACTGACAAAATAATTTAAAGACAGTAGTAGTAAAATAAATTCAATAGAAAAATATAAAGAAGTGCCCCACATCCCAGAGTGTGGTTCAAGCCAGCCTTCCACACCTGCACTAGTCAGCATAGCTGTCTGCCATCATGGACATGCCCTCTACTGCACTGTCCAATGCAGTGGCCACCAGCCGTGGGGTGATAGGGTGCTCAACGAGTGGCTAGTGCAGCCTAGGAACCAAGTTTTTCATTTTCTTTGGTTCTGATGAGCATAACTACTGGCTGCTCTATTGGACAGTGCAGGGCTGGCCTGAAGACCTCTCCAGTTCACAGGTGACTGTTCACAGAGGGAGGCAACCAGAGGGACTGGAAGAGTGTGCAGAATCGGGCAGAGTAACACTCCTAACCATGCAGGGCTCAGCAGGACAGAGGGCAATTGATGGAGCCGCTGAGGAAGATCATCAGCAAGACCTCTGGGGCTGCTGGGTGTTCCTTAGCCAGACTGTAAACAGGCAGAGATTCTGCTTTCCAGGCTGTGTGCAGGGTTGAAATTGTATAGTAATTCAATAAAAAACAGGCGGGGGCATTTTGATTTGTGACAGATTCTAGCAGGAGGGACCCCACCATGACACCTCACCCCAGAGAGGTGGCCTCTTGGACCGCATTGCATTGTGGGGGCAGTCTCAGCTCCTGCCCTGTGTGTACTCCCCACTTGATTCCTAGTGGGTTCTAAAGGGAAACCTTGGTTGCATCCTCCCTTGAGAGCATTTGGTGTAGGAGAAAAACCTTATGCTGAGGCACATTACACAGGCATTTATTGAGCTCAGGCTCTTTGTGCAGCAAGTTGCACAGGAATACCAGCTGACCACCCCCAGAGAGATGAGCAAGTCATTAGACTGCTGTGCTTGTGCCAGAGAGGAAACTCAGCAGGAAATGGTGGCATGTTATCAGCAGTAGGAAGCCACCATATCTCACAGGAAGCCCCACAGCAAGGGGAGAAGGAAGGACTTGCGAGCAGTTAAGTCCATCTGGCTTCTTTTCTAAAAAACCAGCTCAACAGTAAGAAAAGCAAATGGCTATAGTAGGAGATAGGGCGCCCTCTAGTGGTGTTACATGTTCACCATCCTCAAACTTGATCCCTTGACCACCGCTAACAGTTGCCATATCCCACAGTAGTGGGTTTTACATAGCCACTCAGATGTATACATATGGTTACATAAAGTTAAAATAGGTGCCTCATAAAACAGTAGTTATCCTTCCAACATGCAATGTGCTATTGAATTCAGGTTTCCTATTTTATTTGGTTGATTTTTATGTTGGTTATGACCTATTAAATTAATAGCCCACACAATGGCTCATGACTCACATGAAAATGCATTGGAAAGGAAATTCTCTGCCTTTAATATTCCTTTGAGACCACCCCCACCCCCATCCACACTTGTGCATGAGCTCAGCCAAGGCCAGCAAGGTCTTGGGAACCTACCCTGTGAATCAGCTGTTTGTGTGGTCAGAGAGGAGGGTGATGAAGGAAGTGAGAGAATAATAGATTAGGACAATGTTTTATCTCAAATGCAGGAAAATTGGGAAGGCCTACCACAGTTTTCTCTCATCCTATGTTATTTAACTCTTTTTTTTTTTTTTTGGTATTTGCTCTTTGGAAAAGTATGAAAGCAAATTAAATGAGACAGCCTGAGTGGCCTCAGGCCTGTCTGCTCTGCTCTGGGCCTCAGCTCCTCCACCTGAGAATTGGGGTGGCACTAGGTGTCCTCATGAGCTGCTCCCCTCCCAAGCTCCTGTTCTGTGACTGTGTGTATCCCAGGGTGGCGGGGTGGAGACATGGAAGCCAGTACTTGGAAAAGCAAGAGGAGGAGGTATTCAGCAGGGAAGAGTTTAGAAACAGGTCCCCAGCCAGGGTGGGAAGAAAGCAGTGAGTGACAAGGCTGCCCAGGGAGGCAGCAAGTGCTGCAGGACATGTTCAGAGCAGGAGGCAACCCCCAGCAGCCCTCCAGCTGGGCAGCAGACAGGCAAACAAGGTGGGGACACAGGAGCTACATGGTGGAAACATTAACAGCTGCACCCGATGAGGGGACCTGACTCTCCACTGGAGGTGGCCAGCATTTGGTGGAAACCAAATCTTAGAGGACACTGGCCTCTACCTGTGAGACGCTGGACCTCCTCCAGCATAGACAGGCTTTGTAAGTTGGTAGCAAGTCATCTGCTTTTATGCCTGAGAAATCTTATTAGGGTCAAAATGGCTACAGGGGGCCTTGGTATGAATCTGCTAAGCCAGCATCTGACACTCGGGGTCTTCCTCCTTCAGGAATCTGTCCCTGGTTCTTGACTTTCATGAGGGCATTCCCTCGTGTCTTTTTCTCCTGAAACTACTCACTAATGATTTACAGGCCCCTTGGACATTTCCTAGCAAGTAGCCTTTGATTTCTTGGGTCCCTGCAAATGTCAGGGGTTGAACTGCTGTGGTTGGGTCCTGCATAGCAGGGGAGACACAGCTGTAGGTCCTGCTTTGGGGGAACATGTGGTCTAGGGAAGATAAGACTCCAAAAAAGGGAAGTAAGACACCATGGGACCAAGGCTGTGAAATATGTGTGCACTGGGGAGGAGGGGAGGAGGGGATGGCAGATGCCATCACGTTATAAGCACCTTCAGCAAAGCCACCTGTCACTGCCCCCAGATTCTTGGTGCCGTGCTGCTGCTGCAGATGTACCAAGTGTCTGTCCTTGCATCTGTTCTTGTGCCCCAGAGATGAACCAATGCAGGTTTCTCCAATCATGGGCCAGCACTGAAGAGTCAGGAATCAGTGGTACTGGTCATGTGGACCTGTGGGGAAGTCCCTGCTGGTGTGGGAGTGGAGGGTGGCCTGTTCAAACTGATGCCCAGCCTCCCCACACCCACCACCAGGACTGCCACCTGTGGTCCTCTTTCTGTCCTGGGCCTCTGCAATCTAAGGATTCCCATGCAATCTGAGGTTGGCTATATGAACAAGACTGCAGATCTCAGCATGTGGGACCTTATGTTGCTGATTAGCTAATGCTGTATTCTCATTTGTGACATTTCAGAGACACCACGTCAAACTCCCTAACTCCTGAGGACACTGAGGACATGCCCGTGGGGCAGGATGCCGAAATCTGTTTGCTGAAATCTGGTGAACTGATGTAAGTGACTGGCTACTGAGTGGACCCCCCACACACACACCCCAGAAGGGCACTGCTCAAGGCTCTAACCCCACACCAGTGGGCGCTTCCGTTTAATTTTATTTCTTTGATGAGGGGTGGAGATTAGGGTAGGGCAGGGAGAGGAAGAGAAAGAAACATGTTTGTTTTAAAAATAAGTCACAGTGGCAGAGCAACAAAGGCTATATTCAAAGTAAAAAAGTAGACCACTGTTAAATTTCCCTCTGTCAATTTCTACATTCCATTTCTATGGAAAATGGGTAATGACATTTCCTGTCATTTCCTGGGGTGAAGTTGGGGGAAATGATCCAAAGTCCTTTTTCTCTGTCAGGTAGGGCATGGACAGTTAAGGGTATTCAGCATTAGGGCAATCCAGAGGTCCACAGTGTCAGATGGCAGGTGACTGGACAAGACCTATGTAGGGCAGGGATCGTGCTAAGACAACAATAAACAAGACAGCAAAGCATCACTTTTATGTAAACAATTAGTATTTCAGCCAGGCTCTGAAAACTATAAAGATGGTAACTCATAATCATATCAGTGAAAACAGATTCAGTTAATCTATGTAGGAGGTTAGGACGATTTGTAGGTTTATGAGATCAGGCTCAGATTGACTCAGGACAACCTTGTGACTCTAGAGTCCTTTGTGATCATTATTATTAGGCACTTCCACACAGGAACCCTTCCTTTATAGCTACTTACTTTCAGTAGGGTTGACACAAATGGACATCTTAAGCCGCATTTTAAAAAAACTATGACGATGCTTTGACCATACTCTCCTATCAGGTGTTTAAGACCAATTGCTCAAAACCAACCTGGTTCCTACCCACTGAGTCAGCTGGGATTCTCCAGAGGTCACTCTTGGGAACATGTGTGAAGCCTCTTGGCTCCTTTAGCTTCCTTCTACCAGTGATGCCATCTGCCAAGATGGATCAGAGTCTTGCAACCATATATAGCTTCTCTTGGAAGCTTCAGGGACATTTCCCTCTCCAGTGACCCTCTTCTTTGCAACATGTGCATTGGTCGGCTTCTTGTTCTCTAGGGTCCTCTCAATCTCTGGGATCAGCAGATCAGGTGACTCAGTGTTACAAGGCCCAGAGAGAGGTCCCCGTAGTTCTCTGGGTCAAAATGTTGGCCGTTTTTTCTTGGCCCTTTTACTTTATATCCTGTCTATCCTATAGATGGTGATGGCTTATTGTCTCAAATTAATTCCAGTTCTGTTAGAAGTAGTACTTCTGGTGTGTGCTTAACAGGCAACGTTATAAAGTTTTACAAGGAAAATGGGAAACAAACAGTAATGCATCTTTGCTGCCAACTTAGCCTCTACAAAGATCCATATATGTATCAACTCAATTCCATACAAGTTTTATTTTCCTTTAAACCTCTTTTACAAACCTAAATACCTTTTACAGTTTTGGGGCAGGGAAGTACTGGGGATTCAACTGTAACACTCAACCACTGAGCCACATCCCCAGCCCTATTTTGTATTTTATTTAGAGAAAGGATCTCACTGAATTGCTTAGCGACTCACTTTTGCTGAAGCTGGCTTTGAATTCATGATTCTCCTGCCTCAGCCTCCTGAGCCTCTGGGATTACAGGTGTATGCCACCATGTCCAGCTAAATACCTTTACCATTTACGCAAACATTTACTTAAGTTTCCAATTATATCCCCTGTTTACTTTAAAATCACAGTAATCTTTACAACAACAACAAAAAAATCTTATCTTTTGAACACAACTTTAAATAAGCTTAATTCTAACCTACTCTGTTCAGAGCCATCCTAACATGGAGAAAACGAGAGGCAGAGCCTTAACTCAGGTAAGGCTGGCCTCTTGACAAATCTTAAAAAGTGTTTTATTTCTGAATCCTGATCTTTGCTCCTTTTTAAAATATCATTTTACAAAGTTCCCATGTATTATTTCCTGAGTCTCTGAATATCAGTAATATAATACAGCATTACGTCTGAAACATAAACAAATGCTGCAGTCTGGCTGGGCACAATTCAGGAGCCACTTGTCAAAAGAAACTAACTTTATTTTTAGAACTACAAACGCCAAGCAAAACAGCTCCTCAGGAAAAACCCTCAGAGCCCAACTGCCACCACCGGCTTCCACAAGC